GCGCGTCCAGTTGTTGCTGTGGTTCATTTCAAGAACAGTGCCGACCCTTTTTCCTCGAGACACTCGAACACACCCTTCATTTTCCACATTTTACCGCATCTTAACAAATGCTCTGAAAATGTAAGAGCTGCTAAATACATTCTGAAAGTGAGCTTAGGAGGATTTGTTATTGTTCTGTTTACTTTACATAAATCTATTCTGTTCTGTTTATTGTAGATTGATCTTTTCCTCAAGAGCAACACTCTGTGGTAAATAACACCCACTTGAGCTACTTTGTATCCACTTTAACTGAATGCAGCTGAATTATCCTCTTAGTAAATAAGATAATTACCCCCCATCAACCCGCTGCACTAACCTTCAGCCCATCGCTGGGCAGCCGGTAGCCGAACCTTGCAGGGAGATCCTCAAAGTTTTCAGTTTTGTTGTCAAAAGAGTACTGAAAGGAAGAAAAGATGGAGTTCATTATCAATAAACAGAGGAGCTTTTGACCTTTTGTAGAAACGCTCGTTTCAGGTTTATCCGTCGGAGGAGGCGAACAGACTCCTGGAGGCCGGTACTCACGGCAGCGATGTCGGCCTCCACGGGCAGCAGGTTGAGGAAGGCGAAGAGCTGAACGGTGAAGATGGTGTAGATCTGCGTGGCCGACAGCATCAGCATTCCCAGGGACAGCAGCATCTTGGCATCTCCGTGCAAAGGCCTCAGCTCGTGTGCCGCTCGCTCGCAGACGTGCAAAACATACGCAGCTATGTAGCCCCCCCGCCTGCGTCACACCTGGAGGGGACGGCACAGTTTGAGATGAGCTGCGTGAGAACTTTAAGGTCTAGGTCTAAGGTACAAGATGAACGGAGATCAGGGATGTTTCCCTTTATCTAAGATGGTACGGTAGATGATAGGAAGTATAACAGACATTACAGATATGGAATGATTCCTCATTCTTGTGGTTAAAACAGCGAGAGGGATGAATTATTTTGCCGACAGTTTGGATCAGAGGCACATATGTTGATGCATTACCACAGACAGGTAGAAGTCAAAGTTTAGCCGGCAGAAGCAGCCTAGCGGGAGACCACCCGTGTTACATATTAGCTCATTTAATGCCACCAAATACACCGATTTAAAGACATGGCAGAGAGGGACGGCATGGAGTGTTAGAGGCCCTTACACTTAACAGCACTGGCTAGAAAGTGATGGATATCCTCATTTCCCTTTGCCAGTCGTTATTAAAAAGAAAAAAAAAGAAAAGGAAGACTTTGCATTTTTAGCTGTCCGATTGCCCGGTAATAAAAAAAACACAGCAAGCTCCAGACCACATATCAAAGAAAAAAAAAGCAACAAGCTCATAAAGCAGAGAGGAGCATGTGATCAGGTCAGGGGGGAAAAAAGCTACCAGCTAGAAACCTAATGAGCTTTAGGCACATGCGTGCCATTGTTGTCAACCCAGAAGAATAAATGGTTTAGAGTTTGGGATTCATATTTTTTAAATAATGCTTACTAATTAGACTAATACACCACACTTAGGAGAAAAAAATTGGTCCTGAACATCGTTTTAAATGACGGCAATGTTGCAGAGATATTTGGAACAAGAGAGGAAACACAGGGGAATAAAACAATCAGCTGTTCAATTAAGACAGCAGTTGATCCACATCAGACCCGTAGAAGCATCTTCGCTGTGTGTTTCACCGCGCTGGTTTGCTGGAATACACACATCTACTCTTTGTTTCCCCCGCTGCAGCAGACTCAGAAGCACATCAGGAGAGCATTGATTTCAACGCTGTACACAAAGGACGCCGGGGCACAACTCCAAATTGTTTCCAGAGTAGTGCGTCTGCAACTTTTAACTATACACAGTGTGCTTCGGTGCTTCTAGCATGTTCACAGCTGACAGATGGTTCAAATGCAGAGGTTAAATTTCCACCAGCGCAACAGATTTCTTGCTATTTTTTGTCCTTTAAGCACATTTTCTAATCTAATCTTAATATGCTGCTGTAATAAAAACTGTATGAGCGTACAGTTTTTGTAATAACACAAATTATGGTTTGATGCCCTTTGTTACTTCTCAGATTGAACTCCATCAAATTGAAAGACTAAATTTGAATCGTAAATCTAAGCTAATTAGTTCTCTCATCAGCAATATTACAGTGAGTGAAGTATTGAAAGTGTCTTTCTGTTCCATTTTCTTTCCTAACATTAGAAAAATAGGTCAAATTTTCCTGAGAATGATTAGTCATATGTCAGCTCTTAACAGAACATAATATTGTCTTTACAGTTTACATAAAAAATAAGTACTTTTAGCGGAGATCCTAACATCATCACATCGTGACTGTCTGAGTGTTTTCTTAACAAAGCAGAAACTAAAAGGAGGAAGTGAAGCCAACATCTGTCAAAGCAATCACGGGCAAAGGATGGCTAAACATCATGTGACATTACGTTTTCCAACAAACACAAATATAGATGTATATAATGTATCTATACAGCTTCAACAGTAGCTAGCCAGAACGTCCTCTCCGCGAGTTAGCATTTAGCTAGCTGCCTCTGGGTGTTTACCTTTATTTCTGCTTGCAGGTTAGTCTTTTCTGGGTTTTAACAGCGGTCAGCGACATTACTCTCCTTGACTGCACATCGTATAAAGGAACATGTGAAACAGCGAGGAATTGTTGTTCGGTTCATACCATAAGGAGCTTGGGGCAGAGAGTGCGATCATAAACGTTACAAATTAATCCTCTTCGTTAGCTTCTTTCTTCTTTCATGTGAGAGCGCTAACTTCCGCCCCCTGCCAAGCTCAACGTTCAGTCTCTGATTGGATGGAATTTCCGTCAATCATTTTTTTCCGGAAATGACTCCAGACATAAACAGATCCACGTGATAGCACCCTAGAACCATTTGCTGCCTTTTACAGTCACATTAACGGAGCCAGTCAGCTTACCGTCTTTGCCGCACTTTAACATATCAAGTCAAACGGCCAAAATAACATTTAAAGGGATTTTAATTCGAATTAAATCACCAAAATCAGTTGTCTAACTTGCGCAACCGTCGCCACCCTCTCAACCTCGGAAAAACACAAAGGAAAACTGCTCTTATTTTTAAATCTCTAGCACCCTCTATAGAAACTGGGGTACATCCATTTCATGGGACTGTTTAATCGCCATCTGTAAGATCTGGTAGTTTTACATGCTGTTCAGACAAAGATCGTCTTGAAATGGATAACTGATGTTCAACAATTGTGGGATGCAATATACCACTGAATGTGAAAACAGGCATAGCTTCAAAGAATAAAGCTTTATGATTTGATTCATTACACGCCCTTAACACAGTAGATTATCAAACTCTTAATGTCAGCCTTTCATAGAGCATATCACTACACCTTTCCAGATTTTTTATATTTATATAGTATAGTATCATTTAGAAAAGTACAGTATTTGGAGTTATCACTACCGTATCCGTAATAATACAACATATAATAACATTATAATGTCTCATACATAAACCAGTGCTAAGAAATATGTGCTTGAAAAGAACCACATAATTATCTATAAAAGCAACTTGGAAGTGGAAATTACTGATTTATTTCATAAGCGGCCGAAGAAACTTGAATTAAATGACAAAATAATACATTTAAGAAGAAGAATATCTAAGCATTGATACAAAAACACCTATGGTTGACAGCTTTCATATCTGTGTGCACGTTTCACTTATCTCCCCTCAAAGATTGTATGCTGATATTCTGTTTTATTTTACAAGCTTAGTGGGTTGGAACCTTTGGAAACTGTCCCATGGCAGCACAGAACATAAAGGCCATGGTAACCTCTGCAGACTTTAAAAGGTCAAATGCAAAATAGTGCTCTCCTGTTAAACCTGACACAGCTTTAAGACTTTCAAAACATTTTGAATAAGTAAAACCCTGCAAAAGAGCATGAACTCTGTGGGCAGTCCTTTTGTTTCTTAAGAAAAGGACAGGTTAAGAGCTGACGTAAATACGAGGGGTGTGAGCCATGTTTCCAACGGATTCACTCATAAAACTGAGAACACTTGTATAACCTTTTGTCCAGTGATAGTCTTGTCTTTGGTGCAGTGGAACCGGACGGCATTCCACAAAATAAATAAGAAAGCCAAGCTTACTTTGTGCTGTTATTTTTTGTTAAATCAGCCTAAATTAGTCAATAGGTCAGTTTTACTTTGTGTCTAAGATCAGCCACACCTCACTGCACTCAAATGTGCAAAGTTTTCTGCAATGAGCCACATGAATATGAGTCACGCATGGTAAAGTCTTATTGTTGCTGTAAAAATGGAAGCAAGTCCGGTGTAAAACTGACACGAGACCAAATCCAATTCCAGTAGCTCAGCAATTTGTAGTTTTTATGTGCAGTGAGGGATTCTTTCTTCCTCAGGCCGATTTTCTTCTATTAAACTGTGCATTTACCTGTGTGCATGTTGTACTCAGGATGTTGACATGTATCTGGATAGTCCTGGGTCATGATGTACAAAGGATTTCGTTGTTGTTTGATACTGTACATTTCAGTGATGATAGACCTTGCTTAGTCAAACAAATCTTCAGAGTTTTTGGACATTTTAAGGTGCTTTTCTCTATTGAAACAACACCATCTGTTTAAAATGTGTTTCAGGACTATGTATCAACAGGCAAAAAGGGGCTAAGCCAAATTAAACTAAATTAAGTTGACTCAATAAATAAAAGAGTTTGCTAAAACAAAAGGGAAATTAGGTATTTAGATATTCTGCCGCAATTATGACAAACTTCCCTCATAAAAAAGTACTGCTTGTTGAAATCATCCCCCGTACTTTTCAACTTAATCTCTAATCGTCACGACAATTATTTCTGTTATTTTCACATAAGAAACAAAGACTACATACATTTTATAATACTTTTTTATAGCTCGACTCAGTCCCACTTTTTAGCATATGCATGCCCCTTCTGAACACTCCCCTCACTTTAATGCCCCTGAGAAACCATACACACTCTCCCAAGCCGACGCAGCAAAGAAGAACAAATGAGGGTTTTCCTCTGCTATGAAAGCTTCTGTGAGCAATTTGATGTCTCTCCAGAACAAACTATTGGAGCCCTGAAGAAGACAGTGAAGGTAAGATAAATTAAAGCCCATATCCATTGTTAACAGAAAACTGTGCTTGCATCAGAATTCTGATGATTTGGATGCTCAGCAGGGACAAAAGATTTTTTAATTTGTTTGTAATTTGGCATGTTTCTTATCAAGGTAGGATACACAATGCAAAATATTTCAATTGTAAATTCAGGAGGAATAAACTGACTGTAACTCTAGCAAAGTACCATTTATCCTTTATGTCCATGAGAAAACACTTTTGATTCAGCTCCCATGGTAAACCAAAGGAGCATGCAAGGAACTCTGTCTCTCAGTCGCTTCCCTTTGTTTTTGTGTCGACAGGATATTTTTCTTCTGCAACTCTTGGACGATGGGCACATCCGACAGACCCTGGAACTGAACCATGGTGGTGCAGTACTGCAGGACAGCTGGGCACTACGTGACATAGGCATCACGAGTGGAAGCACCATCTTATGCGCAATAAAGGTATTAAAATATGAAAGATATTTAAAACTTTGCATGAAAAATTTGTGATGCAGACTGAGAAACATGTTTGTTTTATGTCTTTTTTCTTGATGGGCTTGGCTCAAAGAGATAACAGCAGAATAGTGTTGGCATGATATTAGCTGATGTAAACTTTGATTAAAATGAGTAAGATTGTCACTTATGAAGCAGCACCTAAATAATACAACAATCTTTAGCAACTTTCACTTTTTTTTCTACGATCCCTTCAAAAGTTATTAACCAATGTTAGTTTAGATTAATGCGGGAGATGTATGGGCGGCATTGCTTCTCCATTGTCTTGTTTTGCTTTTGTCGTATTACCTGCATAGTTGTTCTTTTCTGATAACCTTTCAGAGTGAAAGGAGACCTGTGATACATGTGTTCAACGCTGTGACAGGAGAATCTCTACCAATCATGGGAAGTCAGTGTCTACTTAATGCATCCGTGAGCCAATTGAAAACCATGGTATCTGTGCAAAGCAGCCTTCCAGTCAGTGCATTCAGTCTAAGCACTCCTGCTGGTGTTCCGCTTTATGACTGCAACTTGCTGAATGACTATGGCATCGAAATGGGTAAGAGTGTTTTGGACGGTTTGTTAATTATTCCTTCTTCAGTGTAGATGCTATGAACTTTATTACTGAAGACCTTGTCCAAATGTCCTGACTATGCAAAATTTTTTTCCTGTATGAACAGTAAAAACCAATGAATGATATCGATGATGACACTGTACTTGATATATAATACAGAAAAATGATAACTGCAGGTAGCAATCTCCATTTGGACACATGGGATGGGTGGGTGGAGTTCCTTCAGGGTTGCCTTCAAGGCAACAGAGGGATCGTCCAGAAAAACCTGTCATCAGAGGAACCAATAATGAGGTCAGGAATTCACACAAATGACAAGTTTTTATTTACAAACTAATCACTTTTATTCTTCTTTTGTCAAATTAAATATTTTTCATTGCTGTTCAAGGTTTCAGCTGCAGGTGGCGCTGTATGTTGCTGCCTCTTTGGGTCACTTGGACCTGGCAAACTGGCTGCTGAAAATGGGGGTTTCTGCTGCGGAACCAGTGGGAGTTCATCCATTCCGCCAGTGGTGCCAGCAGAGCGACCACCGGGATGCCAACAAGTGTCCTATCCACGTAGCTGTTCAGAGCAATCAGCTCCTCATACTCAAGCTCTTTGTCACCAAGAACCTCCTTACCTTGGCGCGTCTCGACCCTGCAGGGTTGGACCCTTTGAAAATTGCCATTAAGCATGGTCATAGAGAATGTGCACGCTACTTAGTCAGCAAGCTGTTCTCAGCAGTATCCGTGCTTAACACGACTCTGCCAGTGCGTATCTACCTCAGGATAAAACGCTGGGTGAGTTTAGGGAAAAAGAGAGCATCTTCCAGTTGGCGCCATTACACTGGTGCAGCCCTGAAAGCTAAGCTGGGGAGCAAACTTTTGGTAGATGGCTTCCACCAAGGAGGATTGTTTTCAAAATCCATGGTAATCTCCTGGGGTGGTATGAAGGCCAGAGCTTTGCCGCCACTACCCCCCATCAGGAACTTTAATCTGAGATCCCATCCCTCCCCCAAAACAGCAACACAACCTTTACCAATCCTGCAGTCGGAGAAAAGGATGCAAAGAAAGCCTTGTAAGAGGAACAGAGAAGGTGGCAGCTACCATTGCAAACAGAACTTTGGGCTCCCGCCACTTAGCAAAGACGACACTTCCAGACATTTCGTTTGCACTGCGGGGGAATCTTTGTACGTTCTGAATGCATCTCTGAAATCTTCTCACCACTGTGGCCTGACACAGAGAGGAAATGCTGCTCGCTGCATGACCATAGCCAGGTTTGTGCACTTTATTCTGATGGTTTTTACAAGTACATTTCATTGTTCAATATCTGTATATGAAAAAGAAAACTGTGTCAGTAGTTGTTTCTATGCATTCAATCATTTGCACATGGAATTAGTTAACTGCTGGTTAAAGGGGTGGGCATAGATTTGACAACTAACTGTAGACACAGAAGAACAACTTTTTTTAAGTCACTGAAGTTAGATTTCAATCTTTTTTTATGTTGGTGTAGTACCTTCACAGAGAAACCATGGCTGAAGCAGCTGAATATAGCAAGGTGTCTGGTCAGGAAGCACGCTGACTCATGGCTGAATATTTCTGGACCTGCATGCAGTCCACATCTGCCCCCTGTCAGTCCCCGCCACCATGGATCTCAGGAGCTGCTTTGAACACTGTGTATGACAAAGACCACCGTCAACTGCGAAGTGTTGGGCATCTCAGACTTGCCTAGTTAACCAAATATTTAACCATCAAGTCTTCTTGTGTTTAGTCTTATTTTTAGTCTACCAGACAGAATTTGAGAAAAATCATAAATGTCTAAGTTCTTAGCTAAAGAAGATTGGAAAAGAAAATGGTTAATTCGATGTTATTTTGTGTGAGACACAAGTCCAAACAGGGACTGACTTTGTAGATGTATTAAATTCTACTTGGAGGAGACTGAATGTAAAGAGCAAAAATAAACTACACTGTGTCCAGTGCTTTTGTGTATTGTAAATCTGACATTTAGGCTGTAAACACTTCCAAGAAGGGATAAAACTGTGAAAGCAGTACAACAAATAGACAACAAATTAATCTTTTTCCTTTAAAAAAAAAAAGTATAATGACATTAGAGGAGGCTGAAATTGACTTAAAATTGACCTGGCACATTAACATAGAATTTGTAGAAATGTTATTTCAGTTCCTCCAGGTGCTATGAAGAATATATTTTTGTGTTATCAAGAATGACAAAGCAACATCTGAATAGAGCACCTTACTTCAAGTTGTTGATAAACATATTTTCTTCTTTACATGGGTTAGATTTTTAACAATAAGTCTTGCACAGTACTGTCTGCAGGAATATCTTGCATCTGCACAGAGTTTGTATAGATGAGAAAGAAGAATTATGAGTCATTGTATACTTTTTTGGTTTGATTTTTATTTACTAAATTTGCTTTTGTTAATTCTTAAGCGCCCTACTTTTTTTATTTTTCAATATCTGTTTTTCTGCTGGTCATTTTTAAAGCTTATTTCAGAGCAAGTGAATGCAGCAGCGACTGAAAACGCGTTTCAAGGTCTCGCGATGTTTTCAGCCCATTCTACCAAGTGGTAGCGCTGTTGCCCCGCTGCTGCACTCGTCTGTGAACAACCGGGGCGCTGACATGCAAAAACCACCAGAGAAGGCAGTATTCCGTCTAGTCTACTCCTGACTATATTGAACAGCATTAAGTTATGAGGGTGTGCGTGTTTACATCAGGAGCTCTCTTTTGGAAGTTAATTTTATAAAAATAACGGTATTAGAAATTAACTTAACGAAAAAAGCCAGCCGGGTCTGACCGTCAGCGTGTGCGGGAATGGCAGCTCCCCGACCGATAAAAGGCATCTTGAAAAACAAGAACAGCGGCAAAAGCGTTCAGTCATTGTCTAAAGAAGCATCAGTTGAGAATACCGAACATGCTCCGGAACTCTTGGAAGATGACCAGCAGTAAGTTGTCCCTTCAGCTGTGCCGAGACTGAGGGTGGTACCCTGGAAAGGCAGCTAACGACAGCTACACACTTGTTAGCCTTCCTCGGCTGCAATCTCTTTGGCGGTTAATATTAGCCAGCAGTGTCCGCTGTCTGTAGCTGAAATTTCTTGGTATTCCCACCCTCAAAAATAAATAAGAATACTTTTCTGTTTTTACATTAAAAAAAGAAAAACTAACGTTTATCTCTAGAAACATTTTTACTGGTTAGCTTGTTTGTTAGCTTATGATATCAGAGATACGCCAGATGATGTGATTGTAGCGGTTGTTTGTGAGTACTTATGCTAGTTAGAAGTAGCTCATTTAATCACGCATCACTTTTTCTGTTCACTAGCACAAAACAATTGTACATAAAACCTGATTACGATTAGAAAGACATTGTTGAGCTCAGCAGTTCAATTGCTTTGATCAAACGGACCTAACATCCTGTTTTTAAAGGCACATTAAATGCTGTTTTTGAAACTCATAGTTTGCAGATCATAGTGTATGATCTCTATATCTGTTTTATTATTTATCTAGGATTTGCTTATTTATTACCTAAATAATTTGTGGATCCAGACTGTACATTTCCTCTTCATATTATGTATCACAGGTCACACTCGAGCTAGAATTCTATTTGTAATCCTTATAAAAAAAACACCAGTGAATTTTCTGAGTTTTTAGCAGAAACTATTACAAATGCATTACACTTCCTTTAGCAGACTAAGCCACAGATCAAAATCAATCTGTGACTGATAGATGGAGCAGAGCTGCTTTCCGCTCAGATCTCCAAACCATTTGGCATTTAGTAGTTTTAATGAGCAAAGCTACTAATTACAAATCCATAAAGGGATATCTTTTTAATTACGACACATGCATCTCATCTGTAGTGAAATATATCTTGTATCCTGTATGTCTCTCACTTCAGTCACATTAACCTTCTGTCCTGTCAGATTTTTTGGCTTAGCTTCCATCCTGATGTTGGCAAGGATTACGGCTCATGTAACAACAGGCAGTAGTGGTTGATAGACTAAAATATCAACTGTGTTTGATGTCACCAGGGATGCTTCAGAGTAGACCAGAAAAAGAATAACAGAGCAAACTGGAGTGGAGTGGGGGCTACAGTCTTAATAGTTTAGGGAACGTGAGTATTGTTCATAATGATGTGCACATTGTAGAAACTGGGTCTGGATGAGCTAAATCAGCTCGCATGTTGCCAGTTGGGGACTCTGACTTGAAGTATATATGACAGGAGTTGGAGAGGGATGTCTCACTGGCTTTATTTTCTCATGCACTGATGTCACTGGCGCTCTTTCAAAGAGATGTTATTCCTTAAATGGCAACAATCTGATCCCAGGAGGCAGCAAGATTTTAACATAATCAGATTATCATTATTACAGAGGCAGTTGTTTAACGTGTTGATTTATACATTTTATTTATCATGAACCGAATATCTGATGATTCATCTTAATGAATATTTAAAGACATTGGGGAGGCTTTTTAAAAATAATCTTTTCAGATTAATTGAGCAAAGAGTTTTTTTTTTAATTCTCATATCACATGTTGATTTCTTAGTCAGAAATGTCTTTCAAACCCATCTGGAATTTGGACCCAACATGGGGGTTCTGTTGAAGCAAAGCCCATCTGTTGGTCAGATTTAAATATATGAAGACGTCTTAACCAGAACCGGCAGATTGTTTCCAAGACTTTGCGGAAATATTTTGAACTAGTGAAATCTAAATTTAAGCACACAAAGATATGAGAGCCTGCCTCCTTTGGGCATGGTTTAACACCACCCACCTGCCAAATGCCGCTAAGTCTTTGGTGCTAGCTGAAAGTTCTGCTGGTTGGGCTCAGCAGTGAACCATGTTGAGCTTTTAATCCCTTGAAAATCTGCTAAACACAATTTGTGGATCATTATAGTTACACAAATGTGTTGCTAAAGAACTGCTGAGATGACGCATTTTACCCGAGGTATGGCTGACCGGTGACTTTGAATGGGATCACGGGCAGTTCTTATATTCACTGGCACTCCTTGTTTATACCAGGCCAGCGCGTCCAGTCAATAGTAACTGTCCTCTGAGCTGCTGCATGAGAAATGAGGTCATACAAGGATGGCAGTTTTTTTTCTTTTGTGATTCTCTCTCTCAATAGTGAATCAGGCTTTTTCTGTCTGACAGGAATAGTTCCCGTTTGTCTGACAAGGACAAAGACATTTTCAAATGCTGAATTCCTGGAAGAAAAATTAGAGTTGCTCCTGATGTGCTGTGCCACAGCTGTCAGGTGTGATGACAGCTAGGCTGAACGATGAGTTAGGCATCACCTCCAAACCTTAATACACTAATAAGATATTATCATGATTAAGCTTTATAGTTAGTAATTGAATGGATGGTGACATAAACTCTTAATAATGCAGGTGATCAAATTGTGTTCTGTTAAATCTGTCACAGGAAGAAGAGATGAGACTCATGGCCCTGTTGACGTGGAAAAATCGAAAGACGAGTAAAATGTATTTACAAATATCGAAGTAGTGCTTCTGCCCAACTTGAAGTAACTATAGAAAGTGACAAAAGCCTGGGAAAACAAAAAGAACTGCTCTATAGGCACTGTAGTCATAGTTCCAGGGTATGTTCATCACAAAAGGCAACACTGGGCATGCACGGTGAAAACTGAGACTCCCAAACCTCTGTTTGCTGTGTACACATGGATACACTGATAACACGGTGTGCTCTTTATGCTTTTTTGAACTCGTTCCTGATTAAATTGGTGTTTTGCCCTGGGATGAGAGGTGTAAACACAGCAGAGCTCCTTTTTTCTGTAAAGAATCTGGGACAGGCCCTAATTTGTGGCGATGATGGCACCTGAATCGTGTTTATGATGGACTCCAGCTACAGATATCAGTGACCCATTGAAATTAATTGACGTTCCTGCATTTGGTTTTGAAAGGTCTGAATAGAACAGCCACTGTGGAAAAACCACGGTGAACTGAAACGGCGTGCGTTACACTAGAACATCTGCAGGTCTTTGGCCACTTTCTTTGACCCACTTGACCTCGTCGCTCCTTTCAGACCCTTTTTAATCAGCAACCTTTAACACTAGTTAAGAGTGATCTATGAGACTAACACCTGCTCATGCGTAATTCATGAACGCTTCCATGAAACTCAATCTCCCCCTCACTGTCTCCCGAGCCTCACCCGGACCGTGTGGCGTACAGTTTGACTGGCAGGCAGTGAATCTCTGACCATAATCTGGACAGGATACCACATCTGTGTACCGAACAACCGACATGTTCCTTTTTTCATCAGGTAATGCGTAAAGTTGAAAAGGGCAAAAAGACAGATTATTGAGAAACATGTCTTTGAAAATGGAGATATCTATCAGCATTATGGTGGATTCACTGCACTTCTGGCTCATTATCACAGGGATTTGTTTTCTGATGCCAATAAACTTCTCTTTTGGTTTATTGGCTTAGTATTTAAGATCATTATTCGTCACAGTGACGGCAGGTGGGCCGTTCATCGTATGTTGTCAATAAATAGATTTGAGGTGAAATTGTTTGTCACACCTTGTGGGTTCTTATGGGTTCATTACATCAGTCAGAGATGGCAGCTTTTAATAAATGTTTTCCGTCTTTGAAATTTTACATAAACTGATTACAAAAAACCAGTATGGATCGAGTCTTTGTGACTAAGCCAAGGTTAGGCTGCGAGGAGGAAGGCTCACGTGTAAAACTGGTGACGCGGCTCATCGCTGGGAACCAGTTTGTCCCTCGGACTGGAAACGGATGGACAGGAGCTCCCTTTTCCACAAACGCCGGCTGTGCCTGTCGCCGGGCTCAGACCGGTGCGGTGCCCAGCGCCGGACCTTTCCTCACCGTCCTTTGACTATGCTACCTGATAGCACAGCTCAGCTCCCCGCGATGACTCACTCTGTTTAATGAGTTTTCCCGAAGCATTATGTCGCCAGCTGTTGACCACCCCACAGAGGTAGGCATCATCACGTAAGAGACCTCTATTTTTAGCGTCGACTAGTGGACGGTGCCGTCCTGCTTCCCCGCATCTCTTTTATGATTTGCCAGCGCTGCAGAGGCAGGTGTTGCAGCTGTTGTTTCCAAACCGCTCTGAGGGACCGGAGCATTGTCAGCATCTGGTTCACGTTGTGTAACCGCAGCAAACTGGAAGCATTCGCACTTAGATGTTACGTTCAGCAGCCAACAAACAGAGCAAAGTTTATGGAGTCTGCCCGGTAAGATGTCCAGCAACTCATAGAGCTGTTCGGTCAGCTAGCGAGCAAAAGTCAGACCCTTCTCCCCTCGTGCAGGATGGCCGAAGGATTTATGTTATTTCCACGTGAATCATTCTGATTAAGAAATCTTTGCTCTCGGCAAATACACTGCTTCGTTCAGTTTTCTTTCCCTCTGAATTCTAAACGCTTGTGTGTAGAGAGGTGGAAGCTTTGTTGGCTTGAAGCCGCCTTTCTCTGGCCTCTCACTGCCTTCCTGCCCCCAATGGCATCTGACCTTTTTCATGAACCGGGTCAGGGGTGATGCACTGGAACTTGAGTGAGGGGGGTAAAAAAAAACTTTCAGATGGCTCTATAGCTGTAAGAGAGATAAGAAAAAAAAAAAGAAATGATGGAAACAGGACTTTTTTTTTTTTTTTAAAGAAAAGACTGATTTCCTCTTCTGAACTTGTGTGATGGGGTCACACTCACTTCTCATTTGGTTTCTTTCGTTAACAAGGATTATTGCAATTTTACTTAAAAACCTTTACAACTTTAAAAAAAATTACATTCCAAGGTTAAAAAACATTACTTAGATTTGAGTAAGAGCATTTTAGGGATTAGAGTTGTATGAGTAAAAGGAAAAAGGAGCAAAAATCCGCTCTCGGAAAAACCAATTTTTTCAGTTTAGCTTGTTTCCCCTATTGACCTTATTCCCTCTCAGATCGACCTCAACACCAGCTCAGATCTCTCTCATCCGTGCATCTGTAAGTTGGCCCTCAAACAGATGTCGCGTTTTCACATCGGTGCTAACGGTACTTCAGGGATTTTGCCGGCGCATTCCCAAAATAATGCGGTCGGAGCGAAAACTGGGACATGTCGAGTCCCAGATTATATCGGCTCCCCGGAGGAGCCCGGGCTGAGTGGCAGGCCGCCGCACGCCGACCGGCCGTCCAGACAACCGTGTCTGTCCTCTGACTGTTCATTTCATTGATCTCTTCACAGCAAGAAATCCCAGAAATGGGATGAGATGAACATCCTGGCGACGTACCATCCGGCAGACAAAGATTACGGCCTGATGAAAATTGATGAACCCAACACACCTTACAACAGGTAGATATTCCTAATGTCCCCCACCTCTGTGCATACATTTAAAACAGTTGTCCTACTTACTTTAGTTTGTTGTTGAATTCTTTCTGTTAAGCATTATTTCGAGTCAAAGGCTTCGTCCTCATTATGAATGAATTGTCTAACCGCTTCACTCTAATGGCAGATGATTATCTTTTACTCCTCCCCGGCCTTCTTTCCTGTCCTTCTTTCACTTACTTCTGCCTTTCCTGTCCTCCCTCGATTCCCGCTTTTATCTGTGCTGTCTGCTCTGTCGGCAGGATGGTCGGGGATGATGACGAGGGAGCTCTGAGTGACTCGGAGGGCCAGAGCGGGCTCGTGGCTGATGACCTGGCATCAAAGTAAGGATTAAAAAACACGAATGCATGGAAAGGCACTAAACCCAGACGCCCAGATGGAGCGAAGGGAACTGGGTTAGCCACTGAGTGTTGTAGTGGATAGGATTCTTTTGGAGTCCGTGGCTGTAGTAAAGGTATCGCAGTAACAGGAGCTTGAAATATTTTTCTGCCGTCGGCCATCATGCTCGCATAAGTGCACTGATGTGAGAGTGTGTGTAACACAGAGGATAGTGATCAGCCTCCGGCTTTCAAGTCAATTAACTGCCTTCGTTTACATCTGCAGTGAGTGGCCTCCATTGTTTTACAACAGCCGCCCCCGGACAGCACTGTGTAACAGTTGCTCTGTTCCTCTGTGCTTTTGTTGTTCTTTTTGCTCCAGCATCAACTCAAACTCTCCTGTGTTATCGTCTCTTTTTGAACGGGGCTTTTCCTGGATTTGCGTCCCTCATCCCGGAGTCCTTCTCTGTTTGGGGTTGTCTCCTCGTATTAGGGCTGCTCTCTAAAACTGTAGGGAAACATCCGGCCTTCTCCCTGGCCAATCGGTGCTGGCCCGTTGGAAATACAGCCGTACTGTAAATGGGAGTTTCCCCAGGGCAGTTCCACATATTCACCACCATCCGCTCAGCCATAAACCATTATTCATTTTGTCCGGCAGCACTAAAGCTCCCACTGTGTGCGAGATAGACGGGCTGAGTTATTATTACACGCACTCCATTTCCACCCTTCACTTTGCCCACACTCTCCTCCACCTAACCAAACAGCACTCCATTTGTGCTAATCCTTCATCTGTTTCTACACTAAGCGTGCTCACAAGTTGTGCTAATCTCTCCACAATTAGTTGATGAGGATCTGTCGGGGGTCTCTAGATCAGGGTGGGTCGAACTCTGCGCCTCGGGTGCAGTAACCCGCAAGTTTTTAGACATTTTCCTGCTTCTACACACATGATTCCGTTTTAGTGGATATCTCCAAAACATTGTGAAGCTCTTGGCCTGGCTGCCAGTGGGCAGTGATGGGAATCAGGTGTGTTGGAGCTGGCAGACCTCTGAAACCTGCAGGACGGCAGCCCTCCGGAGACGTATTTGTCAAAGCTTGAGCTGAAGTCCGTCATAAATTTCTTCAGGCTGGCGGCAGCTGAGGGCCTAGAGCCTCGCTTCATGAAAGAAGAAGAGGAGGAGGAGGAGGAGAGCAGCGAGGAGGAGGAAGAGGAGATGACTCCAGAGGAACAAGGTAAACTGGCATCTTATCTCTACAGAAACATTTATTCTGGATGATGCGCTAATCCTCTGCTGAATGACAAAGGACTTCGTCAGTGCTCTTATTGGCTTTGAAGCTCTGTTCACACTCGCCCTCGTAAGGTGAAGTGACCTGTACAGATGTGCTGAGTACCACTCCACAGCGCCGTACTGAAAGGGATCAGAGAGGCTCAAGGGCTTTTTGTACTCATGATATTCCTGGCACTCGCAGATCCCCGCCCCTCAGGACGCTTCTCAGATGTCCATTTGTCTTCTGTCGGGGTCATCCGTGGACCGGAATATCATACAGACTTTTCCAGCAGGAAAAGTCAGGCGGCATCAGTGTGACGGAACAATAGTTTGCATGGTTTCAGTTAGCCGAAACTTCTGTTTCTACCTAATTAAACATATTTGTGTTAAGACGGTCCTGTATCAGGCTGGAGAACTGACCTTTAACCTGGATCCATTTCAGCAAATGGAAACACTCAGCACTTTTTTGAAGAAAAAAAAAAAAGATGATGCTATAAAAAGAAACATTCCGTATTAGCGTATGCTTTTACCACTACGTTTTCACAGACCAGTCAGTCAGGGGAACCAATCACAAGCAGAATCAGTCAGCGCGCCTCTCACAGACGTGGGCGTCCTTCTCTGCTCTGATTCTGACACCCGGTTACGGCGCCTCGAGCCACAGAGTTCAAACTTCAGATGGTGTAAAGCTCTCTACAGGGCAACCGTCCAGAACGCTGACATTTTTCTTCCACAGCCGAAACTAAGATGAGAAATTGAAGTTCCTTACCATCGATGATGCGTGCTGAGCGTACTTTGATGGAATGTGGATAAAAGATAAGCGTCTGTTTTAGTCTGCAGGGTCGGATGGTTCACCGCCTCACGGTCCACGCAGACCCGGCGGTTAGCGTCTGACCCCAGTCCTCTACCGTTTCTTCTCTCGCAGCCAAAAAGAAGCATTTTCAGATGATGAGGAAGATGCACTACAACGAGGGCCTGAACATAAAGCTGGCTCGCCAGCTGATTGCCAGCGAGCTGGAAGAGGACGAAGATGAGGAGATGAGGGACGACACGGAGGACCTAAGGGAGAACACAGAGGAGACGGAGGAAATCAGTGTCGACCCGCCACAGGAGGGTAAGGCGCCGCCACCGCAGGTTGACTGTTAGAGGAGGGGCAGCGGGGGGAAATCTTTGTGTCGTTATGGTTTCTGAAAACATCAGCGCGTAAGGGAAATGGAAAGACAAAACGATTGGGCATGTCATCGGGGTGGGGGGGGTTAATTAGATTTAGTTTGTGCCGCCCCAATAACAAAGCGTGCTCTAATCTTTTACTCTGCACGAGAAGTGCACGCAGCCTCAGGGCTTAAGATTAATGAAGCCTCAGACCCGCTCTACGTCGTATGACCAGCAGAGGGCGACACCTCCAAACGGCAGCAGGAGGCATCGGTGTGAAGGAGCGATAGTTTGCATGGTTTCAGTTGGCCATTAGCCTATAAGCAGGATGAAAAGGAAAGGGGAAAGGAAAGTGGATGTAAATGGAGCAGAAATATCTGTTATTCTCGTCTCATCTTGTGCGTGTCTGCTGCAGTGGCTCTGGACTCGTAGACGAGAGCCGCCTCCCACCAGCCCGACACAGCTACTCAAGATCCAGACCGACGGAGCTGCTGGGTTCTCCATACAGCAGACACCACTACTACCACCTGTGTAACATCTACCAACAGCCAACGAGTTCCCGGTCACCTGCCTGTGTACTTTTTTCATAGAACTGTGCAATATAACCTTCAAAAGCAGCGGTTTGAATTCCGGGAATTAGAGCCTCGCACAAGCGGAGACTGTCGCTTGTCCCTCCTCTTTTGCCAAGAATTTTCTCGTCCCACCTGTTCGGGGGCCGACATCAGACTAACGAACATGAGATTCTCTTTCGAAAAGGACGGTCGAAGCCTTTTGGCCCACATCGGCAAATCAGCCCTGGAAGAAGCCAAGTGAAACCCCGCAGCCTCTTAGAAGGTATACCTGGACAGGATGAAAGTTTTAACTAGTTGCACCTCTCACGACTTTCTTTTTTTTTCTCTCTCTCTCTCTCTCTCTGTGTGATCACACTGATGCATTCTGTTTCTACCAAAAGCTGTGATTTAGAAGTTGGTCACAGGACAACTGGTTCGGTTGTTGGTGTTTTTAATCTCTAGTCACGTCTTGTCAAACACTTAACAGTACTTCACAAAATAACATGATATTTCCCTTCATACGGCACGTTATGATGCATTTGGAACCACGGGTGGTCTAAATTAGGTCACTGAATAAGCAAAGAAATGCCTTAAAACTAGGAAAATTTCTAGAAAAAACCCCACAGGATTGATATTTCTGTCTGGACGAACAAGCAAAGCACCACAGCACAACCTTGCTTCAAATTTCCAGACGTGTATACCTCACAGAGCCTGGTGCCAGGCCCTTCTTTCAAACCAATCCCAGGCCAGATTTGACAAAAGCAAAAAATCTTTTAAGGTAAAAGAAAAAGAAAAAAAAGGAGTGGAACTGTTTTCCAGGACAAGCCGGTCAGTTTCGAGTGTTCCCTGACCGGACATATTTAAGCATTTTAAAGATCACCTGAGGGACAGAGTGGAAGTGTTGCTGCTGATTTGTACTTAGCGTGTGCTACTGATAAACAGGACAATGTCTGGCGGACCCAAACCGTCTCTTAACAAGTCCTAGCTTTAAGTTTTTTGGCGTATTTGTGGCAAAAACCTGTCGTTTGAAGCGCTCCTCCCACCGGAGCGTCGCCAGCATTCGTAAGTTGTTTGGAGGAAGGCAGGGTGATGTCGGTTTCTCACTCGTCTTCGTCACGCTTTTGGCTTTTAAGCGTCGTGCATGACAGAGGTTGGGAACCCGATGGAGAGAAAAACGGATGCTACTGACCAGTGTTAAGGATGATGTCGGAATTAAAGCTCTGTAAAGTTTACCACAGATATTTGGAGGAGCGGTTTTCCTACCGACTGGGGGTTCGGACATGCGTTCACTGTTAAGTGAAGGAGTGAAAGAGAAAGAGGAGCTTCAGTAAGTCTGGTGTTGTCCTTTCGTTTTAGTGCTGTCTCACCTCCCTAATCGATTATGAAAGCCTCCAGCCTCCTTTTTGTTCCCTGTAATTGGAAGGAAACTCAGCTGTTTCCATCTCTGCTGTCCACCGAATCTGTAAAAGCGAGAGAAAAGCAGGCCTGCCGAGCTCTGAGATGATTCCAGAGGTTGTTGTTACCTGTCGAATGTGCCTCTATAATGTATGTCTTGTGTGTTAAACGGGCTCTGCGATCTTTTTCGTTTATTTTTTCTTTTTCAGTTTTACCTCATGTCCTGCGTTTGGTTTCACATCACTTCTGCCCTGTTTGTTTTCTACGGATGATAGACTGTTAAGCAGCCCCATGCCTCTGCTATAATTCTGAGTAATGTCAGCCATGTTTTTTGATCATTTTTCTTTTGTTTGTATTTCCAATTTGCATGTCATCAATTATCAGATTGTGTGAACTGTTTTATTTTTGTCTCCTATCATTAAACCAATGTAGTTATAAACTGGTGCATACTGTTTTTTTGTTTTTTTTTGGAGGCAGGGGTGTTTATGCAGAGAAAACATTCCCTTTCCATCTCAGTTAGCTTTGTTTGTGTACAGTAGAGAGATAACCTTTTACCTTCATAATCCTCATATAATGTTGATAAGGACAAGCACATTCGTTAAGATCTATAATACAGTATGTATGAAACATAGGATTTGCCTTGAAGCTTTAAATGTACTTTATATTTTTAATTAATCAAAACAGGAAGAGAGCCAGTCAGACTCATTGGTTACCCATCCTCATTTCAGCTCCTGTTGCCACATACTAAAACTTCTATTTTTTGCAGGAACAGACGTAATGTCATTTCATTTTGTACATTTGTACGCGGTGTGCCACCAGATGGCGACCACACGCCGCACATCTTCCATCCCCGCAGGATTCCTGGTCAATCTAACGGGATAAAGCCGCAGTCCGAGCTCTCACAGATTATCTTGCACGTTTGCACCGGTTTGCGTTCCCAGCTGTGGATGAAGGCGTCAAACGGCTTTACTCGTGAGATTTCAGTTCCATTGATAAATTCCACGAATGTCATTTTGGGGGGGAAATGCTTAAATGCTCCGTGCAGCTGTGTTCCCGTTTTTTTCTTAGAGCAGGGACACACGCACTGCGGGGGGGGTATTGTGAAAGTATGAAACGGGGTGCTGGGTAAGTCCAATGGATCAGGAAGCTCCTGTCAACTCACACAAAGATCGTGTAACCAGACGAAGAGGTGTCACTCCTGCTTTGATCCACAGAACAACCATTATAGAGGATAATAATCTCGCAACAACACAGGCAGACAGTCTCATTGAATAAAACAATTGTTTTTTTTTTGTTTTTTTTTATCTCCAGCAAATGCATATTTGCTTTAAGGTCGGACTTCTTCGATCTAATTATCAACATGACACCAAAGCCCACTTTTTGTTTGCTTAAAGACCCTTAGAGATTTCACACCTCGGCATCTGAATAACCATGATAAAGTAGAATAGATGTCAGGAGCCAAAAGGGCTCTGAACACAGAGGAATGACTAATTGAAACTGTCACAAATATCTGTGTCTGTTTTTCCCACTTTTTAGTCAGTTGGATTTGTAGGCAATCTATTCTAGTTGATCTCGTTTTTATTTTCTGGTCTACTTAAATCTGCCCCAGTTTGCATTCACTTTGAGTATTTTTGTGGTTTCTTAAGGGTCTGCCTGTTCTGTTTCGAGTCTTCTTCAACATGTTTGTAGTTATTTCAGGTCTCATTGTGTGACTTGTGTTTGTTTGAATCTTATTTGTGTCTTGTATTTGGACTGAGACCATTTGACCCCACCTGTATTTGTCTATCGCCTTGGACAAACAAGGAATGTCAGTTGCTACTTTTAAAGCAAAGCATTCGAATTGCAAATATGTATATAATACAAAAATAAACGTTTTCTTTTAGTCAAGACTATCACCAAGCCACAAGTCTTAACGTGAGACGTTTGACGGCACATGCGCACTGGCACGTTGAGAAAGCTCCTTCCGGACATAGACGATCTTCGTGCGGAGCAGTTGGAGAAAAGCTGCTCTCCCGCTGACTGCTATGACCGAGCTGCCGGACGACACTTTCCGTTTTCGCCCCTGACCGCTGCGACCGACGCAGTTTCGCGGCGTTTTGTGGCTCCCGCGCGTTGAAAACGAGCCGTGTCGTTTCATGGTTGCTTCCCCCTGCGACTTTTTCTTCGGGTATCTGCTGGCCTCTGGGGCTAGCTGGCTAGCGGAGCAGTGACGGAGCGGAGCCAGCTGGTCGGACGGAGAGGAACGGAAACGTTAGCAAACAAGCTAATTAGCCCGAGAGACTGAGCCCGGATTACTGCGTTTAATCAAGGAGGGCGCGGGTCCGTGGGTTCACCCACCGAGGCAAAGATGAAGATCACTGTGGATTTTGAGGAATGTCTGAAAGACTCTCCGAGGTTCAGGTAAGTGGTGAGAGCCAGTTCTTTTCTTTTTGTTTTTTTTGTTTTGCCTGGTGAAAATATCATTTCTCTATGGAAAGGAAAAGTATCCGGCTAGCTCTGCGTAGCTGGCTGTTTTGTTGCTTGCCACTTTTCTATTTTTGTCTCGAAGAAAGCTGGATCCAGCCAGGGAGTCTGCTGGTGGGGCAAGGAAACCACACACAAACCCACTGAGCACACACTTGGAGAGAGGAGCTGCTCCAGTGCCTTTTTTTTTTCTCTGTATGAATTATGTAAAGATTGGAAAATATATCAAATATGAATGCAGGGAATTCTGGACTGTGCCAGTCTGGGGACTGTACCTTTATTACTAATGAATGTTATTACTATGTAATAGCATTAGTCACTGTGCACATTAATAGGTCACTGTTGAACTCAGTTCTGGAGATCATTTTATCTTCTATCAAGCATAATCTTAATGCCACAATCATCAACGTTATTATCAATTGTCCCTCCAAACATTTTCTGTGTGCAAACAAAAGATGGTGTTTTCGTGTTTATAAGCGGTATGGTCAAATTACCCCGATAAATGAGGTAAGGTTTACTTTGCAAATTGTGCAAGATTTAGATTGATCATTTAAATCCTTAATGAAATAAAATGGACAAAAGCCTCTACGATCCAAATGAGTATTGAATAACCAAATAATATCCCAGCTGGATTGGAGGATTTAATTTGTATGTGCATCAGACCCTGGAAAAGAATTAAAAAAACCCGTTCTGGTACAGACCAGGTGGTTAGCAGGTCACGGTGTAGGTCAGCTGGTCGGAGTTCATGTGAGCGTTATTCCCGACAGCTTTTCTTTTTCTGACCTCATCCCCCACATCTGGATTTATTTATTTTTTATTTTTTGTCCCTTTCACTTCGCTAGGCCTGGGAGAGGTGTAAAATGGGACGTTTCTCCGGGGTTTTGAGAAAGCAGCTCCCCTTCCTCCTCTCTCGGCCCCCACACTCTGCTGCCGCCTTCTGCAACATCCTCTCCCAACAAAACGAGGAACAGATGTTAGAAAGTTGTTTGGAGGGGGAAAAAAAAAAAAAGAATGGAAGGAAATTTGCTTATGTATCACATTCGTGGGGTCGGTTGTTCTACTTTCAGGCGGCTGATGATCGCGTGGGGCCGAAGCTTGTCACGCTGAGGCGTGTGGGCGGCCCCGTTAGGTCTTCTCCAAACCTTCTTCTTTCCCTTTCCTCTTTAAATCGTCACATGGATGGTTTAGTTTTAATCGACATTGGTGCAGATGCTTCGATGTCAGCCGACTAGCAGTGCAGTTTTTCAAGCCTTCTCTCAGGGCACAGGTCAGTCCTGTGGTCACCGTGACTGATATTGTAAGCCACTCACTTTTGGGACACTCAGAATACACCGGCGTGGACTTTCAGGTTACTTTTTTCTCCTACCTATACTTTCAATCATTAATAATGCTTAATTCATCCTTAATATGTGTTCAACTCATATAACTTCTACATATCTTCTCCAGATGATGGCTCAGACAGCTGCTGTAGGCTTTTACAAATACCTACAATCACTCACACCCACCATTTAAGCTCAAACCATACCAAGACAAGACATTTTGCTTTAACACTTGAGAAATGTCATTTTATGACCCAATTTTTTCTCTTATAAAACCTCATGGAGGCAGTCAGTGATGCAGGTGTGCACCTGTTAGAGTAGAGAGACTCCATGTTTGTGATTGTCGCTGATCAACAATCATTCTGGGTGTTTTTTTAACATGAATTCACACATATAACCCTACAAAAAGATCAGTTTGTCCTTCGATGGATTCAGCCTCCATCATGGAAGTCAGGCTTTGCAGACCAGAGACGTCGGGTCCACTCGGACCACCACAGTTTTGATCTTATGCTTTTTCCTTGCCCCCCCGCAACTTCACAGTCATATTTGGCCATAGAAGAAGACAGAGAGAATGGAGGAAAACATGGAATATATTCCAGCGTGGAGTGACTCTCACTCGCTCCACATCTGTTTCCATTTTGGTGTTTGCTTTCAACTTTGTGCCAGAGAATATGCAGCCCCCAAATGTTAAGAGGGTTGTTTTTAAGTGGTAATTTGGCACACCCGAAAGTTTTTTTTCTTACTCTCATCCTCACTTTAGTTGGGAAACTGTCTTTGGTTATGAACCAGGCTTTTAGCCCGATGGGGAGATACACCAGTGCAGAAGGGAAAAAAAACCAAGTGACTAATCCCAAGGAGTCTAGTTTTCCATTTAGGAGTCGATTTCCAGCCTCTGAACTTTCCCGGCTCCTCCTCAAGTAGGAACTTTGACAAATCTAGTCTTCATGTGAATAGATAATAAAGCCAGCAGACATTTAATGTGTCACCTTAAAAGCTCATGACTCAAATCTATTTCTTTCATATTGGATTTAGCTCTTTGTGTGGGTTGTTGTTGGAGCATCACAGGATGCGACATTGTGTGGTTCTAAGTAAAGCGCACAGGAGAGCGTGACGTCCAGAGATTACAGGACCGACAGCCCTTCACATCCGGTGGACTGGAACTCGATTTCTGAAATCAGGAGCAACAAGAAGTCCCCTTTCCTTCACTCACTTCCTAATGAGGAAAAAACCCATCGGCGCTCTCCTAAGCAGTTTTGCTGATTCCGAGCTTGGCCCAGTGCCATCGTATGAAGTCAGTGGTCCGATGTCTTTGGTTACACTTTCCCCTGAGTCACTGAGGGCAGCTGCTTAGCCGGCAGACCCCCCCCCCCCTGCAGAGCCCCTCGCTCGCGTACCACTGATTCAGTTTGCCCAAATGAGCCCGGCCGGAGGCCCGCGAGCCCGTCGTGCTCGGCACAGTTTGACAGCATTGAGCTGGGCTCGGATTCGTCTCGACGGTGGTTCATAACGGCTAATGAAACGCCTGACGGGGTCAAAGGTCAAAGGCCTCGATGCTATCATCTCCACCAAAACACGAAACATTTAAGTTTAGGGAAACACAAGGCTTTCCGGCGCGTTCGCCCCTCTGTGCTGTCTATAGGCAGTTTAAAATGCAATATTCCCCCCCCACCCCCACCCTCCTCGGTGTTTCCTTCCTGCTGGAACACCCGGGGACGCGTTAGCCTCCATGCTCAGCCCATCACGACACCGGGGAGAATTCCCCAAAGCCTTTATCTCCAAGTAGTGACTTCATCTTGTTGACGTTGCTGTTGTTGCTGTGTTTTCCAGTGGTGGGTTTAACCACAGCAGGACACCCCCCCCCACCCACCAACCATCCCCCACTGTTGCGCTCCTCTTTTGAACAATCACAGGATCTACGTCAGCACGCCGAAGCTCACCCCATTCTTCAGGTTTCCATCCACGGTGGCAGCCTCACAGCGCCGATCTGTTTTCCTTTATTCCACCTCTGTTATTTCAGCGCCGGGGGGACGAACCCCTCTCACGCCCCGCCACCGGGTGTTATGGCGCTCAGAGCATAATCAGAGACACGAGATGTGGAAAACCCCGTTCTGAGAGCCTCAGTGACCTTATAACGCGTCGCACACCTTTTTTTATATTTGTTGGATTTGTTGACATTAAGTCGTAAAGCATGCTTTTGGCTGACTGTGGAGTTTGAATCAGCTTTATTTCCCATCTGAATCGGGTTAACTTTTAGGGCTGGCAAAAAACACTTTATTAGCACATCTTTACGGTCACTGTTTCTGTGGAAAGTTACCATGGCGATAGAGTGAGACTTCGGTTGAGTTTGTCTCATGAAGTCGTGATCAGCATCTATAAAAATGGATGTTTCCATATTGCTTTAAGTGAAGCCGTCAGCATGTCTCTCTATCTTATCTTATAGTCAGATTTTGAGTGATAAGCAACAAACCTCACGAATAGCTGATTGCAACCCATCCAGGGAAAATGTGGAGTACACGTGCATCGGAGAACACGTCCCAGAGTGTCTGCTCTTGTCCCTGAAGTGTTACAGGCTGCTCCACCGGCTCACAGGCGACACGTCTGAGCGGAGTGTGAATGACGAACCTGTTCAGCCACTCGGATTCTGCATGCAGAGCGCTCGCAGGCCGCTGGCCAGCCGCCAGCCGCCCGCCGCCTCCCAGAGCTCCACACGAGGGTCTGTCGGCTCTCAAGTATGGCCAGTGACTCACTACTGGATGAACCAGCATCTCTTTTTATTGAGGATTTTAGGGGAGTCCGCTCCAATAATGGTCAACAGCTCTGTGCGTTTCTGCTCGTATGTCTCCGAAACGTGAGAGTTTATGCACCTTAATGGGTTTCACTCATTCAGAGACTTTATGCAAAAGGACACCGATTTCATAAAGTATAAACTCTCAGTGATTGTTAGCTAGGGGCCACACCACCATCGCCTCACTGCCAGAGGGTTCCGGGTTCCAGACCCCGGGGGTACCAGGACCGTTCTGTGTGCAGTCTGTATGTTCTCCCTGTGTCTCTGTGGGTTCTCCAGGTTCTCCGGCTTCCTCCCACCGTCCATAGGAGTGAGTGTGTGTGTCATTGACTACTGGGATGGGCTCCAGTCCCCCTGCAACCCCATTAGGGAATAAGCGGTAACGATAAGGGTTGTTAGCTAATGCCTGCAATCGTAAATGAGGCAGAGTTTTTTTTTTTTTATCCAGGTGAGACCTCCTTTCTGTGTATTGAGCCTCCATCTGGCCCACAGCGCTCTGCCTTTCAGACCGGCATCTGAAATAGGACCAGGACCCAAACATTTCCTCAGTGATGCTGAATTGGCCTCTTTCTAACTGATGTGGGTTACATGGCGGGCCCTTTTTTTTTTTTCCCGCCTTCCTCCTCCTCATTGGTTGTCGTTTTCTTTCATACCACACATTTCTCCTTATTTAGCCTCACAATCACACCCAAACATTAACCCAAGACGTCCAAGTTCCTCAGTTTGTGCTGTTCCATGTAGCTAGGAACTTAGATATATAATATAAGATGTTGATGTTTGCTTTAACGTAGCATTGGAATATATTTTTTCCAGTTTTCTTGAGGGAAGATTCTTCTCTGAGCTAAGAAGTTAATCAGATTAGGTGGTTAGAATTAGTCTCTGAGCAGACAAAACAGAATGTTTCATGCAGAGGTCTGCGTTATCCAGCATGTGTTTTTTTCTTTCGGTCCATTTACTCCCCCACTTTGATGGCAGCGGCTGATGTTTGGTGTTGCTTCTCTTCGGTCTGATAGCAGATGTTTGTCAGAGGCCTTTTGCAGCAGGATCAGAGTACCTGCATCATCCAGGCTGCTGCTTATCGTGCCGTCTGTGTTATCCACCATGAGGCCCTTTTAAGAAACTAAAGCAGTTCCTCCTGTATTGTGCTGTGCTGAAAATGGGTCTGCGGTGCGGGAAATTTGGATTACAGTCTGAATAAAGTTTATATGAGTGCACATCCCCCATCTGCTAAAGAGTTAATCGTTCACGCTCGTCATTGTTATGTTTTGGAAACTCCAGAGATAAAGAACAATAATTTCCTTTTACCTGTTCTTCATTGTGTCGACTGTGTAGAACGAAAGGAAAAGTACCTTTAAATGATCCTCAGAGTATTAACAAACTCAGCTCAACATATTTTTGAGTTTTAAGGATAAAAAGTGAGCAGACAGACCTAATTTTATACCAGATATAACACATAAAACGCACCATTGACTGGGTACGATATGGGATTTGTTGGGGTCACTCCAATTAAACAAATTATTAAAACTTGTTCCTATAGAGGCTCGTGGTGAAATGGTGGGTCTCAGGAACTTTTTTGGGTTTTTCTGCGTAAAGCCAAAGTTTGTATAGAACATAAAAGAGGAAATGCAAACTTTTAAGTCATTAAAGAATATAGAAAAGCTTTGAGAAAGTTTCAGATCCCAAAAAGCTCTTTTTACAACAGGAATAAGTGGAACAACACTAAACGGGAGATAAGGAGCTCGGTGTTTTGCCCCGTTGCTCTTGCTCTTATCTCATTCTCATTCTTAGCTCAGCTCATAAGGAGTCGTATCTGGTCGCCCTTTGTTCAGGCGCTCCCGGAAGAAGGCCCGGTTATGCTGCCTTCCCCCTTTCCCCGTTCCTGCTGGTTCACGGTCCAAAAAGCAAACTTAAGGTCACCTGGAGCTGCTGTCACCAGCTGCTTATGACAACATTTCAGCTTGGCTCTGGCCGCATGGGCTGCCGGCCCTGATTTTATCACGGCTCGTGTTTCTCGAAAGCCCCCTCCTTTTTTACCCTCGGTTTCCTCTCCGTGTCATTCTGAGCGGCGTTTTATGGGTCAGAGATGAGTGTTCTTCTTCTTTTTCCCTCCTGCTCATTATCCAGGCTGGGGCTGGACGCGCTCCAAGCCCTGATCTGCGAGGCAACGGCTGAACTCCTGATTGTGCCAGAGCCCCTCCTTTTTTTTTCTTTTTTTTTTCTTTTATCCTCCGTCAGCAACTTCCCAGGTTCGCCCTGGAGGCTCAGCTTTCCAGCTAATGTGAAACGGCTACCTTTCGGTGGTTCGACACGAAGAGTGCGACTAACGAGAGGAAAATATTTTTATACTGTTATTTCACAGAGGCGTTGGTTTGGTTAATCAATTCCCCTTTCAGGCCTCCCGTTGTTAATGATTTGAACATCAAGGGAAACTGTGCAGACAGGCTTCAAAGTGATTCCTTTAATTTAGAAGAGAAGCATGACTTTTAATCCATTATATTTTGCGTCTGTCACCAAGTTTTTTTCTACAAATTCTAATCCAAAAGATGTTTTTGAAACTTGAAAGTGGCCAGGGTTTGGGGCTCCCCCCCCCCCCATTCCTCATTTCCAACATTGTTTAAGCTCACAGTGCTCGCTGTTACAGTAAAGAAAGTTCAGGAATAGGTCGGATCCTCTTTCTGCAGCAGCAATCTGGAGGAGTCCAGATTCCTGGTGATTCATCAGCTCATTTCGCCTGAGACGACCGGCAAAAAAAGACGGCAACGTGTTCTTAAGCTGTGGCAGGGGTGAATGTCTATGTGCGAGTGGAGCTCTTTATTGCTTTTGACCCTCTTCCTGCCCTCCTTGACTACTTAAGTCCTCTCCTCATTCTACTTTGTTTGGGCTGCTCTCCATGTCTCATAAAAAGAAAGGGGCAGTAGCTCACAGGCCCAGGCGCTTTTTCTGAGACCGGGTTTGTTGTCGTTGAGCCGTGCACGATATAAAGAACTGGATGCTGGTGCAGGTTTTTAAGCTTTAGCCTTTTATGTATATATGCTGAGCCTCGGAAATGTGCTGAACGGGCACTTTTTTTAGATCCATTTTTGCAGAACGACTAGGATAAAATCGTTTTTTCGGGATAAGATGGACAGCATCACCAGTCTGTTTGTTTCACAACAAAAGTTATTTTCAGGCTTCAAGTAAGAGAGTCGGCCCCACAACGCGATCCTATAATAACTGGAGGGGGGACATAATAAAGTCCTCATACAGTCACAAACCATTTACATGTTTCAGTTGGGCGTAATCGCAGAAAAAAAGGCATCCTTGTCCGCCGTTCATCCGCAGACGTTGAACAGAGTTCACACATTACACTGGTGTCAATGGGGGGGCAACAGTGTGAACAGGCAGGCGCTTTTCTTAAGGCGGTATGTCATAAAGCTCAATAAATGAATGCAGTGTACTAACTGTGTGAAACGCTTGTTTTAATTGTGGGAAGTTGTTTTCAAGCAGCCATACAGATGAGGGGAAACTCATTTAGATGTCAGGGAAGGCCGCGATGGCCTGCAAAGCTCACAAGTTCTTCAACAGTGGCGTCTGCTGCCCAAAGGGGACAGCTGCTGACCCTTCTTTAACGTGCTTTTTACGACCTCATACTGTTGTGTACTGTAAACAAACAAACAAACGAAAAGATTCCAACGCATTACCTGGAGTCTGGCGCTGAATCTGTGTGCGCACTATCTTTGGAAGTCTTTGATGAGCCGGGCTCCTTGTCCTCCCCTGACACTCACCAGATGTTGGCAACATCTGATACCACGTGGCAGAACAGCTGCTGAGTATTTGGGTGCCATCTACTGACTTTTATCAATCCCTCCTGCCTCCCTCCAAAATATAAAGCTGCTATAGTCATGAGTTGCTGATATTTGAATTCAAGAAGTGCCCATTTTGATCCATAAGATGAAGAAAAACTGTGTAGCAGGCCTGAAACGATCCAAAAGATACGTTTAAAAAAGAATACAAACGGAACCAAAAGAGTGAACACTATTACTGCCTATAGTTTTTTTTGGGTTTATTGTTACGACAAGAATGTCCTTAAATGTGGATGGCTGGATAATTTAGTCTGTAAGATCTGCCCCGAGAGCAACAGGATGCAAGTGGTGATAAATTCCCAGCAGAGCAGAACCAAGTAAACAGACCAGAGTTTAAAAAGTGCAAATACAGTCAATAAAACAAAGCTGTCTTGCCTTGCTGTCGCTTTAACTATTCTAATCTCTTAATGGCCGGTTCTGCTGCTTTTAGACGCAGTTTTTCACTAAAAGGCTGTGATTTGCGGCTTCCCAGTGCAACACTAGCTCAGACCTTACGGGCTCATTTCAGTGTTCTGCATTCTTGTCCGGTGTCCAATCCTTAGAAGGGTGTCGAACACAAGCTGCTCCTGCAGCTGTGCAGATTAGGTGCACCCCGGTTCAAATCCCTCCCCCAGCTGCTCAAATCAAGCCATGTCCAGTAATAATATAAAACCTTTTCTTTTTCTTTTTTACTTTTATTGCTAAAACATACTTGTTTTTTTGTTTTTTATACTGTCTTTTCTGTTTAAATGAATAGAGCAACATTGTGCACTTTAAAAAAAAGGGTTTGATCGGCTATTTACAGGCCTTAGTATAATGTAAAGTACACGTTAAACAGCAGAGAACAAAGAAATGTTCCCATTCGAATGTCTTCTTCTCGTTGTGGCATTCTGATGCTGGTAGGCTGTCCGTCCTGTGGAGAACCAATCTGTGCCCTGTCACATTTCTGAGTGCAAGAAGCCAGAGCCTGTCAGCTTCAAACCTGTGTGTTTTGTGTCCTCGCAGAGCCACCATCGAGGAAGTGGAGGGGGATGTGTGCGAGTTGGAATCCAAGCTGGACAAAGTGAGTACCACCCATGAAAAAAAAACACAAAAAAAAACACATTGCTCCGTCGCTCATTTGCTCCACTGTGTGTGAGATAAGAGCTTCAAAGGCCCAACTGCACGCGGAAAAGTGCAGGTTTGTCCCCGGTGAGTTCAGAAGTAGACGTAAATGTCACATGGATGGAGCCAAAATGGACCCATTAGAGACCAATGCCAGAAACGATCCGACACGCTTCAGTTGTCTAATTGGGAAATGCCCTTAGTATAATTCCACAAGCTGAGAGGTGGATGTGTCGGGTATGTGTGTGTGCGACGTACAGTTTGAGCAGATTACATCTAAAGCTCGCAGCAACTGCCAGCCAAGCGATGCTTTACCTCAGCTCCGTTAATTAGTTTCACCGAGGAACCCTAATCAGCTTTCACCACGTTCATAGGAATTATTGATAAACAATCATGTTATAAAATACTTTCTACGGTTAAAGCAGTTTATATTACAAAATTTGATGTTACTTCGTTTGATTTATTTTATTCAGGCTAAAGCATGATCCCAATTTTTTTTTCTCCCTTTCACGTTGGATTATCTATTTTAGATGATATTTGGCATTCGGCTTTATTTCCTATATACGATTCAGATTATGTTCTTTCTTCCACTGAGCTGCGATTTTGTGTTCAAACGAATTGAAGCAAAGAAGTAATCCAATCAGGCAAAGTACGGAGGAGTTTTATCCCGCCCTGTCAGTGAACGAGGCCCTCCTCCCCGTGCATCTCTGCAGAATTAAAAGTACGTTCACTACCTCAGAGAGAGAGACCTTGAGCGTAGCGGAACCCGCTTCATTGTTCTTGGACTTGCAATCTGGGAGTCCCACCCTCCTCCTCATCCCACCTCGGTGACTCAGCCCCGGCCTCACTTCCCCCTCTCGCTGTGGAGAGCAGGGATCTGCCAGAGAGTGGGTGTGTTTGCGTGCAGGAGTATGGCTGCAATAGTCTGTATGTCACCCGTTTCTTGGGTGGAGCCATGCCTAAAGAGACCAAAGTTCATCTTTTTTCCCCCTTTTTTTTGTTTTTTGTGTAACGTGCTGTTTGGACAGCCAGCACAGACACATTGAGTTAAAGCGGACACGACCAAAATGAGTAAATGAAACCAGCCTTGTGAAAGGCTGAAATGTAAATGTATTGTGTAAACGGTCATTCAGCTGTAATGGTAATATTTGATGTAAACTATATGTGTTTGTAACAAAGTATCTCCCACCACTGTTCATTGTCTGTTTTGGAAGTTAAGCTAAATTTCTGAAAATTACATTTAGTAAATAAACTACTAAGAATACAACAATCCCTAAATGAAAACAAGTTTTTGTTTTATTTGTAAGTCTTTGAATATGGTCTCATTTGTCATTTCATGCCTCAAATAGAGGCTGATTGGGGGGGTGGGATTTAAAGATGTGAGATTATTAGGCTGGGGGAAAAAATGAGCGTTTTTAGATATTGTACAGCTGCTTAAGCTGCAGATATTCATTTAGGCTCTGTGTCATCTTCTGCGTGGGAGCAGAGAGATGGAAAACTGCCAGACATAGATAGATTACATAACCTGGAATTATTTTTGCTGCCAATGTGTCAGAAGTGTCTGTTGTTAATTATCCAAGACAGTGAGTAAGCCTCTTGTTTTTCAGTGTTGGTTCTTTAATCTCCATCTTAAGGTTTTAAGAAATCTACAGCTTCTTTATCCTTATTAGAAAATAGCCACTGGTTTAAGAGAGAAAGCATCCAAAAGAAATGCTGTTTCAGGATTTTCTCCTTTATTCTTCCTAATATTTACCTCCATCTCTTTCTGTTCCCCTCAATAGTTGGTGAAGTTGTGCATTGGGATGATTGATGCTGGAAAAGCCTACAATGCAGCCAACAAGCAGTTTGTTAGCGGGATCCGGGAGCTCGCCCAGCAGTCCACCAAAGATGAGGTCATCGAGGTAAACTACATATAATCCAGCTTTATCTGGTTCATTGAAAGTACTCGGCTTTAGTGCCCCATGTTTGAGCCTCTAGCCTTTAACTCCTGTTCCCCTAACTCACTGTAAAACTGCCGGGAATACAGCCACGTTAGTGAAATAAGAAACCAGGAGCTGTATCGGCCTGACTCAACGCTATCGGCCCGTGGATGCAAAGTCTGCACTCACATGACATTCCCAGATTTAAAAAAAAGAAAAGAAAAACAGCGCTAGTAAAATCCAGCTCTGTCCACTGGGTATCACAAAGGTCAGATGTTTTGTTTTCTCATGAATTCATGTGGTGAGACGCTTCCTCTTCGCCTTTGTGTATTCGGTTGATTTCATCACCCCAAGTTTCAAGTTCACATATGTGTATGTGAGACTAACTGGGCCAAACATCTATTCCCAAATTCTACAAATCCCGCCAAGAAATAGATTTCTTTTAGTCACCCTCTGGCTTTTCTTCTGGTCAGGTTATCATGGTTAGGTCCTCACCATGTTACACTCTCCCATAACTGTCTGACTCCATGTTTCTCCCTCTGTTCTTTCCACAGTCCAGTCTCACTAAGTTTGCCGAGAGCCTGCAGGAGATGATCAACTATCACACGGTACGCCGTCACCGCCATGTGAAACCGGATGTGTTGTCGTTTTTTGCTTATTCTCCTGACAGCTGGGGAAGACAAAATCCAGATAGGCCGATAGCCTGGAGCTCTTTAACTGTCACGTTATATTTACTGCTGGGAAAAACAGAAGAGGGACCACTTGGGGAAAAAAAATGTATCTATCGGAAGAGCCAATGTCTTGGTAAAGATAAGCAGAAAACGTGCAAGATACCTCCTCTAGAAGCTTGGACTTTGTGGTTAGATAAGAGGAAAGTGACTATAATTTCACATGACTATAAAACCTGAAGCAGGGTGTTTCTAAAACGAGTCCGTCTGCACAGCGAACACTTCCCTCTATAAAAAAAACAAAGTGGTGAAAGGAAAACTATTTGGGTCGTCTGGAATTTTTTTTCTCCCTACCATAATCTAAAAGTTAAAGGAGCGCATTTTAAGACAAAATCAAAATGACTTTCTTTGTCAGAAAATAATTCATGGAACTGTTTGGAAAGTGGAATTTCCGAGAATTAAAAAAATAGAAAACGTTCTGCATCACTGGTGTTAATGTGGTCATGGTCGGTATTTTCATTATGTGGTTGTCATCCATCAGACAGCCTGGATATAAGAGCTGCTCGCGACCTCAGACTAATATATGCATTATTTTAGCTTTAAGAACTCTCGATATATAATGTTCTCTACAGCTTACTCAGTCTCTTCTAAGAGACACTGACATTTAGAAATGTTTTCCTCTCATTAAGACTAACCTAAATGCAGAGAGAAGGCACAGGATTAGCCAGAGGCTCTTGATTTGCCATGAATGTTTCTCATTTGATCTCCCTTGTCAAGTCTTGTCTCTCTTAGCTCTGGATATCATGTCCAGAGTGAGTTTCCAGCCATCGCTGCCTTGGCATTGGCATTACACTGTTCAAACGACCAACGACAAAAGCATCATCTTATATATGCGACCTTTTTTGGCCAATTCGTACATTTAGAATATGTGCATTGAAAAATAACAAAAGGCCTCACTAACTGAGGTGATTGGCACCATGAGGAGTTGGACTAAGAAAGATTTATCTTGCTAGAGGAGCATTTTATTGTACATTTCATATTTACTGTGTCATAAATAGAGAAACAATAAACAAACAAAAAAACTTTTATTAGCCAGACAAAAAGGTTGAATTAAGCCGTTTTACCCTGTGAGCAGATGTATTTTTTGGTGTTGGTTATGACTTGTGCGGTAACTTTGCCGTCTAACGTGTGCTCCTTGTGCACCTTGTTTCGTTTTGTTTTTGTTGAGTATGAAATATACTGTTGCATGTCAGCAGTCTCTCATTTCACCCGTGTCACATCTGGTTACTGCTGCCACTCTATTTTTATGTCACAGGACAAGTAACACATGACGATGCATAACGAGCTAAAAGTGGCAGAAGGGGAATATATTGCCTTTACAGGAAAAAAAATAATCAAAATAAATTCTGCTTGTGACAGTTTTTCACTTCTGCTCTGATGTATAAGTAGTTTGCATGCTGAAAGGGCTCATAAAGCATAATTTTGTAGACTTCAGTTCCCCCCTTTATGGTTTTCGGTCTGTATGGACGGACGGAGACTAGAGACAGAGCGGCACCATAGATATGGAACTCCATCAGACAGCTTATGCCTACGTTTTGGTAGCGGGACTTCATCGTGTCAGTTGTTTCCAGGCAACGCACTCACAGATAACGCAGGCTTTTCTAGCTGCACCTCAGTGTGTCCGCTTTTTTAGAAAATGTGTTTTTCCTCGAGAATGAACGCTGCACCACTATAATTTCCCTTGGGAATAAACAAAGTTATTAGGTAGCAAATCAGCCTGTCCAGATTTAGTGTTTTTTTCCAACCGTCTGCAACACCAGCAAGTTTAATCCTGAAAAAGGAAGCGCAGACATTGCATGTTTTTTTTTGTTTTTTTTTAACCAGTTAAAGATATGATTCAGCAGTTTAGTCCAACCACACCTAGTTCTCTTATTAGTCTCCCGCATGGGGTCCCAAATTGCCTCCACGAGCCTCAGTGTGAGCCAGCGACTGTTACTCATCACAGGGGCCTGCTAGCACATCAGCTGACGGGCTGATAGGCTTTTGCCACTCGGCGGTCTTTCAGCACATGATCCACTCAAACACAGCGCTCAATGTGTTTTTCAGCGGTGGCCGGCCTCAGCCACACTGCTCACATTGTCTTGTCCCGCAACTAAACGAATTAAACGAAAGCTCTGCTTAAAGCGATCGTATGTTTTTTTGCTTGTGAGCTCATTTTTAAGGATGCAGGCCGGTTAATGAGGGCATGACTCACACGCCAACATAAGCAAATCACGTCATCTCTTGTGTTTATGTCTTTATGAGGGGAGTTTACAAACTGTGTGTAAAGTTAACAGCTTAATTACACCCTCTGATGTCAGCAAAGTATCCTCTTAAACAGAGATGCTAAATGGGTTAAGGAAAGGAAAGGAAATGAGATATATTTATCGGCTTTGTGTTGATTTCGTGAGAAAAAACGTAGGCCTTATGCCTACATGGTTGATCTAAGGATTCTGTATAATTGATCTCTTTTGTTTCAGATATTATTCGATCAGGCCCAGAGATCAATCAAGACACAGCTGCAAACATTTGTAAAAGAGTGAGTATTAACTGACTTCCTGTTTTGATTTCATCCTATATGGATAAAAAAGAAAATTCTTTATAAAGAGAACGTTGGAGATGGAATATATCAAACTGAAAATGACACAAATACACATTATGGGTGTAAAACTGCTCTGTATCATTCATATGTAAAATGATCTCACTCTGGACCAAAAAATAAGTACTGTAGGCACATTTTCAGTCAAGTCATGTACAGGTCGGGTAGTCTTAGCAAATACCTTTGTTTGGTTTAGCCCTCAGGGATTTCCAGGGCCCCCAGATTTATGGAATTACCTCTGACCTCTGCGTGTTTCTTTGGCATGACCATGCTTATGTTCACCCATATTAAAGATAACTTTGTTTCCTGGTGACAATTCACCTTTGCCCTAACAAGACTGTTTCAAATAGGGGAAATATATTAAATGATCCCCATTGTTTGTGGAAGCACACCCCCAAGTATGCATGAATCCCATGTGAAAGTTTGTGTGTACTTATCAGCTGCGTGTAAAAGAATATAATGGCCTTTTACAGGTGGCAGAATCTGTATAGGAATATGTTAGCTCATGTAATAATGATTCGGCAACCTCATTCAGAAATATTTGACATTTTTTAACAGCCTTTTCCTCAACTAAACTCTCTTAATAACTCAAATGATTTTAATATAACTGGGAGATCCCATTTTTTCTTCACAGTGACATCCGTAAGTTCAAAGAAGCAAAGAAACAATTTGACAAAGTAAGCGAGGAAAAGGAGGCAGCGCTGATCAAGAATGCTCAGGCCCCACGCAATAAACAGCACGAGGTGGAGGAGGCCACCAACATCCTCACTGCCACGCGCAAGTGTTTCCGACACATTGTCCTGGACTACGTCTTACAGGTACAGTGACCCAACCTCACAGATGACTTCACCATCAGACAGGTCCCTTTCTCTTTTGCATGACATAATGGAAACATTGTAGTCATGCCATAAGATGCATTTTTTCTCCAAATCCTGCTTTGCTTTCCGAAAGCAAAGTGTTTTGCTGACATTGATGCAGTTTTTAACCATTTTCTCACCCAGTTGATAAAATTTTTTCCCCCCGCTTTTGCTGTCTTTAACATTTTAGATGCATTTTTAAAAAAAATGTTGCTTTTTTGCCTAATTACAGCATGGGGTTTTAAAGCGACATCCAAGAGGTAGGAGAGGAAATACACAAGAAGTTGTTAACCAGACGTGTATTTGTGAGATCTTAAGACTAGAGCATCTCTAGTTTACCACTCTGCACCTCTTTGAATTAGATGATGAATCTTTAGAGTTGTTTTTTTCTGATTGGCTATTGCTGAAATAAAGCAATAAGAACAACATGGTGCTTATTGCTGTGAGATTAAGGGAATTCTGGGTAGTAAAAATTCAGTGATGTGACTTGACCCAGAATAATGTGCTCTCACCCCTGACGTGAAAACATAGCCCTTAAAAAAAGAGAAAAGCAGAAACTTTTTTTCTCTCACTAAACAATGCAGATAGTTTTCTGTCAGCAGGACTTAAATAATGGGGAAGAAATTACACATCTGTTTCTATTAAAAGTTGTTTTTTTTAGCATGTTTCCTGTGTTCAGCACCTCATTATAACCCTGTGCAAATTTTGGACTGTGATAAATTTCAACTGCATCCCCCTCAGTCTTACAAGAATTAAACAACCACAACTTTACAAGCAATTACGAGTTAATTGCTCGTAACTTTAGCTTGCGGCTGATGTCCCGACCCCCTATTGCACTGTGCCAACCAAATGACCCACGTTTCGGGGTGCTGCTTCCATCACGACTACTAACCGCCTGTAATCAAGGGAATCAGAGTGCTCGTAAAAGCTGTGATGCATCAGCAACTCCGGCTTTGAGATGGAAAAATGAGATTCCTTCCCAGGATGGGAGTTCACATAGTCTGTACACATATAAGTGTGGTCAGTGCTGCCTTACTTCTAGCAACCGTAAAATAGTTGCTGGCCACAAAAAAAGGATTCCAACTTCTTTTTTCTGATGCATTGAAGGGTGGTGACCCCGCTTTCATGTATTTAAACAAGAAACTCCCGGACCGAGATCGCTTCATAAGCACAAGATGGCTCTGTGAAATTCAGAGGCAGCTTTTCCCCGGAGCGCGAACACACACACACACACACCACAGTGCGCCTGCTTCACACTAAATGAAGCTGTCCCCCATCTTTAAGTCCTCCGTTATGCATCCTTTCGCGGCAACATTAACCTAAAATAACTCTGCCCTTGGCCAGACAAGCAGCAGAGTTGTAATTTGACTGGACAAGAAGCAGATTCTGCCACTAACACGGGCAGCCTCAAAAAAGAAGAGGGGGGCAGTAATGCAGCAGGGATGCTGAGCAAAAACAGGAGACGCTCGGCTCCCCCTGCTGCTCACAGGACGAAGCACTGTATGGAAAAACATAAGAGAGACAGTGTGATTTATTTAGCTTCTTAGCTTCAGTTGACTGACCCATTTTCAGGTACTTACTGTTTCGTTTCTCCCTCTTTATACTTGTGCATCTCACAGAATATGTTTTTTTTTTCCAGATAAATGTGCTGCAGTCTAAGAGAAGATCGGAAATACTGAAATCGGTAAAGTCTCTTTTGTTTTATAGTGACCATAAAGGACCTGTTTGTCATGCTTGTGGGCTGCTTAACTAATCAGCATCTTATTTTAATTTCTTTTTTTATTCCAGATGTTGTCCTTCATGTACGCCCATCTGACATTCTTCCACCAAGGTTATGACCTCTTTAGTGAACTTCAGCCTCTTATGAAACAGCTGGGAGGACAGGTACCGACTCCTTTTTACACACATTTACTTCTGTTTATCGCCACGTTTGTCACCACTTTCAGGTTCGGTCAGAAAAATGTTGAACTCTGCCTGAGCTGCTGGACAAATCCAAAAATATTTATCTAACCCTTCATCTAACTTCCTCTATTTATTTAATTTGATAACGGACAAGAAAATATACACACACTGGTCAGTGATGTAACTTACAGTGTTATTGTACAGAGAAACACATTTTTAGGAATGTAAACAAACTTATTTTTAGAGTAGATGCTGAATAAGTGTTTGCTAAGTTTATAATACAGTGCACCGCCATTAGTAAACAGCTAAATATGGTTTTCCTCAACAGAAGTTTTGTTTCCTTGCTTTAAAAATAAGAAATATTTCACTGTGTATTACTGAAGTTTTTTTGGGCTGCATTTTTAGTTTGTTAACGTGATATTGGGTGCACAGTGACGTAACAGGAGAGGAGCAGGCTCAGGTTTTGTTGCTTTGTGATGATGTAACCTGTCATTGATTGCACATCGAAATGTTTATAATATGTTTATGATTTGTAATATGATTTAGTCATTTTCCCCCTCTCCTTTCAGTTCTTCCAGTCTGATTAAACTCTTACCAAACTGTGTGTTGGTAAACTTGATATAGTGTTACTGTTACGTAACCAGGAGCATTGCTTTAGTTTCATTCCCAGCTTTCACCCTCAGCAGTTCCAGTCTCCACAATTTGTTTACACTTCTATCTCATCAGTATGTGTGTGTGTGTGTGTGTGTGTGTGTTTGAGGTTGTTTTTTTTAAAAACTGCTGAATTTCCAGCTGTGCGTGCCCGTATGTATCCTCTGATAAACGGAGCTTTCCCTCTGAGCCAGAACCTGAATGTGACTTTGAGATGGTTATCACGGTGGAGCTGCTATTCCAGTCGACAGGAATGAGGAAGAAAGCAGTCCGAGGGCTGGAAAAGGGTTTTCCCACAGGCAGACGCTCAGGGGTGACAGTCAGCTGAGGGAACACGGCAAAGAAGCTTCAGAATGATGCTCAAGGTTATGGAATATAGATTTTTTACTATAAAGATCAATAGTAAATGCAAGGTCGAGGAAGAATTTAGCGTTGCCATAAAGTGAGGAGTTGTGTGAGGTTCTAGGGAGAAAACACGTGAACATGTGAATTTGGTGTTTGAGCAAGAAGGAAAATCTGTATTTTTTTCTTTTTTGTGTGAAGAGAAATCATAAAAAGTCAGTGCAACAATCCCCAAAACTGGTTTGGACGTAAGAGGAAAGAGAAGCCGGGAAGATGAGAATGACTTTGAAAACCAGATTTTTCGGACGGGATAAACGACCATTTTTAATCTTCTCAAAGCAATAACTGACTGAGGCAGACAGAAAGGGCATAGACTGTGAGGCTGAGGCTGCTGCTCCAAGGACTGCGGGCAAGAAAAGAAAGGGAGGGAAGTAAAAAAAAAAGACAGTTTCAGAACCCAAATCTTGGAAGAGGGAGGGGGGAAGAAAAAAGAAAGAGAGGGTTGGTGCCAAGCCGACAAACAGCTGTAGAGTAGCTGCAGTGGATTACGAGCCTGTCGCACCGAATTTGGAGCAGAGCGAAACCAAAAGGAGAGGAGGAACAGAGGCAGAACGAGAAGACTGCGCTTTTATCTTTTTCACCTCTCCATCATGAAGCTGAAGAAGGTGGAGAGGCTGTGCAGGGAGGTGTGGAGGAGCTGTCAACAGGTCTGCTTTTTATCTTTTGTGTCCAGTGAGAAATTGATCAGGGGAATAACAGGCAGAAATTGTTTTAGTCTGTAACAAATGTGCATTAAGGGTCTTTGGAGATAAAGTTGCTCCCTTTGCATGGACAGAAGAGGGCGGATTGTATGGGTGTTTATTTTAGGAGTAGGAGACATGGAGGAAAAGCCCAGAAACTGAAATGATGAAAGGAGATGTGGTCAGAAGAAAATATGAAGACGGCTTTACTCAGAAAAACACAAAAGAGGAGCTTTTAGTTACTGAGCGTTTACGTAAACAGTGGCTCGCTAACTGATATGAAGAGTCATTATCTGTTTGGAGATGGAGCAACATTATCCAGGTTTCCACGAGATCTTCCAGTGATCCGTGTCCAGTATGCCGCTCTCTGGTGCTACCACCATGGTGGAGGCAGAGTTCCTCTAGATGTCGGGGGGTTTTGAATACATGCAACGGCTTGTATTTGTGGTCATTCATGAGTCAGAAAGCTCGTCGTCACAGTGACATGTGAGGAAGGATGTAAGCAGAGCATTGTTGTCCGCAACAAACAGACAGAATATAAATGAGCCCAGGAGTTTGATAGATAGGATGCGAAGGAAAATATGTGAAAAACTCCATCCAGCTCTTCTTTTCAGACAGCAGCAGATAGACAGCGCTGGACTAGTTTTCATGGTGCAGCAGGGAAAAACATTTCCCATCCGATGTTATCAGGCAGCCCCTCTCTCTTCCACCCATTTCCGTTCTAAACAAAACAAAAGGCGCTTCAAATAGTGTCCTTTTTTCAGCTGTCAGATAGCAGATTATTTTTTTGTATGCCAAAGAAAGAAGGAAAGCAGAGCTTTTCTTTTTTTTTAAACAGAATGTTATGTAAGTCTAAACTCTGCCATCAGTAAAACTGTTTGTTTAAACCCTCTTCAGCTCTTTAAAAAAATAAATGTTTTTTTCCCCTCCCGCTCTTTTATGCTACTTTTCTAATATGCTTAAATACTAACTTTTTGGGGATGTAAGTTAAAAGACTAAATGATGAGTTTACTTTTTATTGCTGAATTAAATTGGCTTTAAAGGAATCAATAGACTTCATGAAGGCTTCATTTGTATTTTTATTCCTCCATTTTCATTCACATTTCTAATACCTGTGTTTGTCTGGTACTTTCCAGGCTCCCACTGTGATTCAGTCTGGATAACTCATAAGAATTATTGTTAGTCTGACTAAAGACATCTTAACATGTTTCTCTAACCCAAATTCTATAAAAGTTGCTTGTTCAGAGCTGGGTTTATGCTGTTGAATTTGAATCACTTCTGTCTGACCAGCTTGACTGAAATGTCAGATTGTGACTGAAAATCTGCCAACAAAGACTATGCATCAGCTCTCAGTCTCTAAAATAAAATGACATTTTCTTTCCTAGTAACTTTAGACCAATTAACTGACATGTTGATGATTTTTTACCATCCAAGTGGAGCTTTGAGCATGCATCAGCTCAGTTCTGCATGAAACGTGCTGCGAGGATACAAGCCAAACAGTAACAGCACGTGGGAAAACTTGTAAACAACTTAATTTTGATAAACAAATGGATTCACCAAGGCGGTCGTCAATATAATATCATAACCGCTTATTGGAGTCAGTGGGCGAGAGGCAGGGTCACCCTGGACGGTTAGCCAGTCCATGGCAGGGCCACACAGAGACACACAACCATGTGCACTCACTCCTAAAGGCTATTTGGAATGTCCAATCAAGCAAGAGGAGGAAGCCAGACAGAACCCATGAGAAAACATGCAAACTCCACACAGAAAGGTCCTGGTCCCCCCAGGGACTCGAACCCAGAACCCTCTGGCTGTGAGGCGATGGTGCTAACCACTACACCACCGTGCTTTATATAACTAAATAACGGAGACAAAAGGCTTTGGCTTTGTTTTCTCTTTAAAAGTGATCTGCAGATAAATCATTCAGCTTACAAGAATCTGTGTTTACAGTCTGCTGGTGAAACTTTGAACCCTTCTCACCACATACTCACATGCATCTTGCGTTTCGTCAACCCCCCCCACTCTGGAAGACACTCCTCTGATCAGATACTGATTCTTTTGTGCGAAGCATTGAGAAATGCTGATTTAGGTCACACTGCAGCCACAGACTATCAAAAGACCTAGAAAAGAATGTCAGCGCTCTAAGGCAAACTGGCACATTTTCAGCATCACCATTAAGACCCCCGGCACTCTTTTGAAAGCCTTTTTTAATGCGTTAATGTCTCTTCTCCTGAAAAGAGCTGTTGTTTTGCTCTCTTTGAGCAGTTGTTACTTTCAGGGTTGAGGAGAATCAATCATCTCGCATTCAATTTCACACATGATGGAGCCCTCACAGCCTGTTCGAATTTGTTTAGAGGAGATTCTGTGGCTCATCTCTGTTTAGCCAGTGGAAGAGTTGCTCATTTGGGTGGGTCATTTTCTCTGTCTAAAAGGAAATGAATGAGCTCAAAGTTACCACACTGTCACCTCTGAAGTCAAATGAAATGACAAAAATCTCAATTTATCGGGCCAGAACTCAACAGTATGTTTATGTGATCTATGCGATGGTGATGAATCCCCAAAAAATGACTTTTTTCTCCCTTAATAAGCTTAAGCTGTCCCTGAGTGAAAAGTATGTGAGCAGTTGGTTCGGTAAGCTTGACCAATCAGTTGTCTGGTCTCTTGCAGTTGGACCAGCTGGTGGTTGACGCTGCCAAAGAGAAGAGGGACATGGAACAGAAGCACTCCACCATCCAACAAAAGGTGCACCTTTCTCTCAATATTTTCTCCATTTTTAACATTTTTTTGCCTTTTTTTTTTAAACGCATGTCTTAATTTTAAGGCAGTCTCCTCAATTAATTGTACCCCTTGTCATCTGAGTGAATGGAGGTGCTACTCCACCCCAGGTGGAAAGCGATCACCGAGTGATCTCAGCAGCTCGCTCATTAATCATTTAGGGCCGACGGAAACCCATTTCTAAACAAACTAGCTTTAGTTTCAACATCCTCTCATCTGCGCTCAGCAGCTCTGCGAGTCACCAGTTTGTTACTCACCCAATTATCACCATCCATGCCTTTAAGCTGTCATTTCCACCCAGTCCAACTCAAGAGCAAATTCAGTTTGCTCATAGAGAAAATGTTTCTTTAACGCTGCAGCATCGATAAAAGCAGACAGCTTTTTTGTGCCTTTTTGGGCTTCTCATAATTTCTCTGTCTGTAAGTGACATGCAGAAGCACTTTATTTGACACCTTTGGGTTCAAGAGCGGTTTTATTTGATTAGATTTTTTCATTGAAGTTGTCAGTTTTCTCCATATTTTTATTTTCGGCCCGCCCCCTCTCCCCTCTCCCCTCTCTCCTCTCTCCTCTCTCTTCCGTCCTTCATGGTATGTTGGCTAGCTTCCGCCTGCCCTTCAGCACCTGTCCTTCCCTTAATTCTTCCTCAATTCATTTAGATGCTATTTTTATACGGGCCTGCTCCCTCTGCTCTCTTGCTGGCCGCTTGTACACAGACCAATCTAACCACCTGTCTTCGCTTTTGCTCTTTTCCTGCATCTCTTCCTCTTCTCGTCCAGGCTGCTATCCAGGTAAGCTGCGTTTGGCTTTCCGTTTCCCTCCGTCTGCATGCTTGTATAGCAGACATTTCTGTGGCTCACGTTGTTTCCTGAGACTCGCAAAGAGGCTCTCTGATCACGAGTACCAGTGACAGCATGCGTGATGTGATTTCATTTAAACGGTCAAGTGTGTTTATTGCTGTTTTATTGCTACTTCAGTGCATTAATTACACTGATGGTGTTCTGACTTTATTATGCCACACTCCACATGACTTCCAATGGATCACTCGAGCTAAATCAGTTTCAGTTATTCGCAGATCCTAATTGCACCACAGTATTTGAACAATTCTGAGGTTTTGTTTTAACTAAAGTGAAACATTTGGATTTGTTAAGCACTTACAACAGCTATTTTCATGCTCTAAAACTTTTTGTTAGTTCTGAGTCATTTTTTTAGTGATTCAGTTCTCCTCATTAGAGTGCATTTAAACTTTTCAAGTGGCCTCTTGGTACTTGTAGTGTTTGTTGACATCAGCTATTTATTGTTGGCAGGCAGCTTGAGAGAGGGGGATGTGGGCTCAAACTTGATTATGTAATGAAGTTATGGTGTAAAATCAGGTATGATAAGCCAATAACACTCTGGTTATTGCCCAAATCATTTTATCTGATTTTGAGTGTACTTATTGCTCCTTGATAAAAAGTCCAAAAATGAGTTTGTCAACTTTTAATCGGATTAAGGCTCTTAGGTGTTTCCCAGTATGATTCTCTCCTCAGTGGGAGCTCAGTGTTTTATCTGTAGACACCATAACTGGAGGGGTTTGGGAAGGAACCTGTGGCCCCCTCCTTTATAAGACAGCTTCCACTTCCGTTATAGTTTTTGCCTTCAAGGGTTTTGTAATGCCTTTGCCCATTATACTTTCTCATGGGAGTTAAGAGGGGTCCTGAGGCTACGTTTTGTATGCTGTGTCATTGCCTTCGTGCATTGCTCCGGATCGATGCGAGCAGGGACATTAAAGTCAGAGTGGTATTGAGAAGCTGAGAGACAAGCGGCTGACTTAAAGATTTCTGTCTTACCTTGTAAAGAAACCCACGACGAGTCATTGGTTTTAGAACAGCGCCTCAGACTGCCTCTCTGCAATAACAGACTGAAGTTGCCCAAGAGGCGTAAACTGGAAACGGGTCGGCTCACGTCAAAGAATCAGATGTGCAGATTTTCGGCTTTTTAAGGAGAGTTAGGAGGAAAGCTGAGAACATGTCTCAGAAACTGAAGTGGTTCCGCTTGTTTTTATATCCACGCCTTTTATTTATTCTGACCCAGCAGTCGCACTAGCATCACTCACACACACACGCACACACACACACACACACACACACACAGGTGACCTTTGTTTAGAGCGAGAGTCGTCAGGAGGAGGGGCAGCTGAGGCTGTGACGAGGGTTCAGATAGAGACAGGGCCACGGGAGAGGATGAGGTGAGAGAGTCTGGGCAGGAGGCGAGTCTCTCTGCTTCAAGCGACTTCAGACGTTAAGATGAGAGGCCACACATGGACGCTTTGAGACTCTGACCATCTGCCGGTCTTGCGGGAATACGGGCTCCCACAAGCAAAGCGCAGTGAAAAATGAAGATTTTCAGCCGCTTTCATTATGTTTGGTATTTGGTGAGTGCATCTAAAGAGGCCGTGCATGTGACACTGTCCGTGTGTGTTTCTGCTCCTTCACTTTGCTTCTGTTGACAAAGCCATGATTGATTGTTGGATTCCTCCTTTACGCCTCGGGATCTGCACATTTCTTTTTTTTTTCTATCTGTCTGCTGTGTGTGACATTTTAGGAGGTGGCAGAGCTTGACTTGTTACCCGACTGCCGCAACTTTTGTGCCTGGAGGTCGACCTCCGTACGTAGTCAACCCATCGACTCCCCATCTGACTTATGTGTTGTGACCCCACCTGCCTCGCTCCGCCAACCCCCCCCCCCCCAGCACATGCTAAGGGGACTGCATTGCAGTGCTTGTGTTGACGTGCGCACCTTTTGTCTGTGTCATCATTTGCAAGTGCAGCCCATGCATCGGTGTTAATGTCTGGCCCGTTCAGCATGCGACGCCTAGGCCCCCCCCCCCCCCCCCCCCCCCCCCTCCCCCCCCCCCCCCCGCGGGTTCCCGTTTTTCGTTCTGCGTGGTCTGCCGCTCTCCTGTCTACTCTCCCCTCTTGTTAATTGGTCAAAGTGTTTGAGGAACTAATTTGCAAGATCGTTTTGGGCTTTATAACTTGACCACTACCTGTTTTTCAGTCTGATCCACATGGCTGAAATAGTTTCTCAAGCCAACGTGGTCACAGACATTTCTCAACCAGTGGTTGAGGCAGGAGAAGCAGAGAAGTTTTCTCACGACAGCTGTGCTCTGGCAAAGCTTTACCAAGAGCCAAAGCTTTTAGAAGGAGCCGCTTTGCCTTGATGGCTCTATCATTGTAGTTTTATCTGTAAAAAGGATGACTCTCAAAAGCTTGTACTGGTGCTTTTTATTGTCTTTCTACTCAGAAATACGATACAGACATATTTTGCCTGCGTTGTGGAACAAAAATAACTCGACCTCCCTGTCTTATGTCCTGCTGGAAAATAGATTTGCGTTAACGTGTGAAAATCCATTGAACACTCCGCAGCAATGGTGGAAAAAAGGGGGCTCAGGTTGTTAAGCTCTTTCATCATTTACATTTATAGATTCTGGCTATGCCAGAGGCGTTAGGTGGGGGGTGGACACATATGTCTGATCAGAAGTCTTAGGAAGCCGCAAGTTAGTGGGAAGCAGTGACCGTGGTCACCACCTGCTGAAGCTCTGAGGTCATTTTCAGTGGACAGACAGAGATGTTTTACCCACAGTTTCACTGGATGGTTTCACTATTGTTTGTTGATTATTTCAGCATCAGTCTGAGTGGGGTCAGGATGAACTTTTGTAATGAGCATTACAAAACCACTCATAATCTTATTTGAAAACAGTCACAAATATAGTTTGGTCATTACTTTCTTCCTGCGCAAAGCTGCTATTTTGGAAAAGACTGGATGCTTCCAGAAGGACAGGGAAGAAGATGCTTCCCCAGCTCTAGATGTATCGAGCTGTAATTGCTCGCGGAGACGCTGACGCTTGGTGTAAATCGACTCCCAAAGGACGCACGCGCTCACATGCATGTGTATGCGTGTGCTGGCGCGTAATGTCACCCGGACTGCAGGAGCCGGCTGGGTGTGAGGAGAGTGTAACAGCAACTCAGGTAGTTAAAGCTGGGCCCAGAACGGGGACGGTCCCATGACAACATGTGAGATTGAGTTACAGCAAAGCTGTGGAGTCATTGACAGAGAAGATGCATGGCAGCTCACTCTGCTGCTTTACTCCGTTTTGTTACACAAACAAGCCACTACTTGAACTTTGGGTTGAAACCATATTTATTCCTTTACATGGTTTTCTTTGAAGTGAAGCATCATCTTAACCCTCCACCACCCATTTTACATCTTACTTTTTTTTTCGAGGGCACATGAATAAATTTGTTTAGCACTTTTTTTTTGTTTAGAGACAAAAGGAGGGAATGTATATTCAGCATTAGTCTCAGTTAGTGCACTTTACACTGTTTGGGAAGAGCTGAAGCCGCCCTTTTTTTCTAGTCTGGTTCATGAATTGACTTTCTGATGAGTGGGAGCAACTTTGCACTCTGTACAAGGCCTCTTCTTTTACGACAGTAATGAATTAGAAAAGTGCCGAAACTTAGGAGAGCTTATGGCATTATAGGGATGTATATATATTTTTATATAGTGATATATAGCTTTCTCCCTTGAAACTGTGTTTTTCAGGATTTCTCACACGATGACACCAAGCTGGAATACAACGTGGACGCGGACAACGGCATCGCCATGGAGGGCTATTTATTTAAGAGGGCCAGTAACGCTTTCAAGACTTGGAACAGGTATTACACACGTCATTTCTGTGAAATGTTTTAGAAGATAGTACAGTCATTAATTTAAGATGAACGTCATATAAAAAAACAATTATTTATCAGAATTTTTTTCATTTAAAGTTTTCATTAATACCACAGATTACTATCTTGTTGGATCAAAATGATAGAGGACGTTTTATGGGCAAGCTTAATGTAAATTTAGTGCAGTATATATTTATTTTTATTTTGCACTGTCAATTTCAATCCATTGCAGTCATGTACAAAGACAAAATGATAAAAAGTATTATAATTCCTTTTCCAACTATGTTGTCAGCTCAGACATTTATTTGGAAGTCTTTAGCAGATGCTTTTAAGCAAAGCGACTTCCAGTGTGAGCGTGTGTAGAAAGAATACACACAGTGAATCAATCGGCTGCATCTCACGCCACTCCGAAAGGCCGTAAAAGCATGTTTTTTTTCGGAGCATTACTGGCTACTGCATGTGACTGTTTTCAAATAAACTTGTGATCTACTTTCAGACGTTGGTTCTCCATCCAAAACAATCAGCTAGTTTACCAGAAGAAATTTAAGGTATGTCAAGTGACTTATTCCACTTTGACCACATTGAAGTATGCCACTGTTTCACTTCCAGCACAAACATCCCTCCATGTATTTTTAGCTCCACGCCACAGTCTCAGTTATAAAGGCACAAATTGTAAACGGTTGTTTTGTGCAGAGTGAACCCTGTTGGTGATGATGCCTGTGTGTGTAGTTTTGTTTAGTGCAATCTGTCATTTATATGATTTGGAAAAGTACTTTAAACACATTTGTAGTTCAGGTGTGAACAGACTTTTTTTTTCTGTCGTGCTTTGTTGTGTTTCTGTGCAGCATGCTAAAATAAAGCTCACTGGGAGGAGTTTTTTCTGCGTGTTCAGAAAGTATTTTTCTAAATCCTAGACACGAGGAACACAAAGACTGTTTTGATTCATCCGCAAAAGCCTGATAATGTTTCTGAATATATGTATTGAATGTGTGAATATTGATTTTGAGAGCGATGCATTCGTTCCATGTTGTGTTGACCTAATTTGTGTGCTCCTCGAGCCATCGCTCCATTAAAGTGTCGCTGCCCTTCCTCCAGGACAACCCGACAGTAGTGGTGGAAGACCTGCGCCTATGTACAGTCAAACACTGTGAGGACATCGAGCGGCGATTCTGCTTCGAGGTCGTCTCACCCACCAAGTGAGTTTGAGTCGCTAACACAGCAGCGGAAAGGGAAAGGCGGAGCAGTCTGTCCACCTTCTACGCACAGTCGCCCCCCACCCCCCAGCTGACAGCAGCTGTGTGACTCCTTTTCCCCCCCCCCCTCTTTAGGAGCTGCATGATGCAGGCCGACTCGGAGAAGCTGCGACAGGCCTGGATAAAGGCTGTCCAGAACAGCATCGCCACGGCCTTCCGTGACAAGGGAGATGACGGCGAGGTAAAAAAAAACGTTTTACCTCTGGTAAAGCTGTTCTTCTTAACATCAAGAGGACATTTTATGATCATACTGACGTACCGGCAAAAATTAAAGGGAAAATATGCTATGTTAAAACCATGATGATCAGAAAAAGATTACCGTAAATAGATAATTAAATAGTAATAAAAGTAGACATAGCACTGGCAAACTGTCCAGGGCGGACCCCGCCTCTCACCCAATCTCAGCTGGGACATTGCCCCCCCCCATGGAGCCCGTTAGGACAAACTACCCCCCTTTGATTATTTTCCCATCCCTTCGGTTACAGAAGCTGGACAGGAAGTCATCGACGTCCACAGGAAGTCTGGACTCTGGAGGCGAGCCAAAGGAGAGGTCACTGAAGGGAGAGAGTGCTCTGCAGAAGGTCCTGGCCATCCCGGGCAATGCCTGCTGCTGTGACTGTGGTCAGCCGGATCCCCGCTGGGCCAGCATCAACCTGGGCATCACCCTCTGTATACAGTGCTCCGGCATACACAGGTGAACCACCGTAGACCCTCCGTTAGAGAAATTCAGCCCTGAAGTAGCACAGGTGAAGGGAAAAATAGAACCAGAACAAATTCAACTTGTACAGTTCATTCAGAGTTCACTTCAGCTCTGATACAGAAATGATACAGATTATTTTTGCTTGTGTTACTTTTGGCTGATCCTTTCCGCCAGGCTGATGGTCTTTGGGGAATGGTGAACTCTAAACTCATTGTTACGTAAACTCACAGTCTGCTTTGGATGTTGTTACAGCCTTTAATTGGCAGGGTAAAGCTAATTAAATTTGATCAAGATAAAAGTGATGGGAGGTCAGTTCCCACACTCTCCATTTGAAGCAATAACAAATAGTGTGTTCTGTGCTTCAGCCTGTGAAAATATTTGATCCGTTTTATGAATCCTCAGCAACACTGGATTGATTATGTAGATCTGTTTTCAGGAACAAGGAGGATTTCTTCTTTTTTTACTTAAGCAAAACTAATGAGTGTCATCTTGAAGTTTTTGGTAATTTTGAATAGGTTTTACAAAGATTTTTTATGCCAATTTAAGAAAAAATAAAAATAATTGAAAAATAACATTAGGGTTACTTCTTTCTTTCTTAATGATAAATAATAACACACCTCAAGTTAAAAGAAAAAAAGGGCACATGCTAAAGAAATGTTTTAGTTGAAAACCATTTGCGGATTTATATCTAACATAACAAAATGATGAAAGCATCTTAAGTTCTGTGCCTTGTCTTCTGTTTCTTCCTCATGCAGGAGCCTGGGAGTGCATTTCTCTAAAGTTCGGTCTTTGACTTTGGACACCTGGGAGCCAGAGCTACTGAAGGTGACCGTGTGATTATGGGCGCTCACACACATTTGTTTATTCACCTCTTCCCCAAATATCACTTCAACCAACCTGACACCTTTTTTTTGCACTCTAAATTGGAGTATTTTCTTTCAATTTTCTTACCCTGCAGTTGATGTGTGAACTGGGGAACGGAGTGATTAACGAGATTTATGAAGCACGACGAGAGGACCTGGGAGCCAGGAAACCACAGCCAGGGGACCCCAGGTAGAGGACTAGTAGAAGGCATATTAAAATCATCAAGTGTTTTCGTTCCGGATAAGAATATGTTCTTTTTCTGGTGATTTGCTCTTTTTTTCCGTGTATTGCACTTATGATATAGTTATATACTTGTAAATATAGTTGGAGTGATGTTGTTGAATCCTTTTTTATCCTTATGGTGGGCTTAAAATGGGGACGGGATTTCATACTTATGGTTTATTATTATTCTTTATGTTTTTTATTTGATTAAACTGTCAAAATGCATTCAAAAAGCTTTATTTTTTCTTTTCTTTTCTTTCAAGTTGAATGATAGTTTATTTCAATTCATTTAGGAAAAAGTACATTTTTAATTTTTCCATCCATGTAAAATCAAAACATTATGACCAACTGTTCATGTAGATGTTCATGTCCATGTTTGTAAAATTAATCAGAGTGATTTAAAAGACAACTCAAAAGACGCTAAAGTATAATTAGCGTCTGTGTAATTATCTGTGCTTTCAGCCTGCTTTTCCAGCAGTAAGCTCTGAAGTTAACAGTGGTTTCCTTTACTTCTCGCTCCTGCCGACAGACACGAGGTGGAGGCCTACATCAGAGCCAAATACGTGGACCGCCGGTTCGTCCGTCGGCCGTCGGATGAGGAGCTTCGAAATAAAGTGGTTTCTCTGAGCAAACAGGAGAAGAGACTGAGCAGCAGCTCTGAGCATCTGCCTCCCAAACCCCCACCACCCACTCCAAAACTACGCCCCGGCTCTAATGTCTCCGGGCAATCAGGTCCGTACATATTAAACTACGTCAAACGCAAACGTACACGGTTAAAAGGCAATAAGATGCTCTGGATGTTGGAGCGCTTTGTACGGATTAAAGAGTCAGTTTAACCAAAAGTATAAGACATATGGGGTATGT